ATGACAACGCCAACAGTAACAGCAGTTTTAAGAGGACACACACACACACATACACAGATGCAGTTCAGCCCGACATGCCACCCACTAAAATGAGTTGATTGTCACATGCAGCAGATAAGTTAAAAGTGCAACACAAACTGAGACCAGCCACGGGGCAGGGGCATAAATCGCAGCACTCGCTCAAAATCTTATCGCCAGAACACATCAAAAGTCAAAGTTTTTGCTTAACAGCAAACTACAACAACAAGAACAACAGCAACAACAAAAGCCTCCACTCGACAATATTTTTCATGCTAAAAGACTTTTAAGCTGTCAACGACGGCGCTCATAAAAATCGACCACCAAACTGCAGACAGCTGGACAACTGCAGCATTGCAACTTGCCATGTTGCCAAGTTGCCAAGCTGCCAAGTTGCTCAACAGCGTCAAACTGTCTGCCATTGTTTTTAGCATTTAATGTGGCCCGAACTGCCTGGCATTTGGCCATCGACCAGGCTGACCAGGCTAGGTGCCCATGTGCCCATGTCAAGAGATTAGCCACAGAGTGCAACGCATGCCACACACAAGAACTTCAGCTAGTTCAATTTCCTAGCGACCCTCTTTACGCTCGCATCATGCTCTCTCCCTCTCTCCTTCTAAAAGCAAGAGAGCGATGTACAGTATGTGTATTGTAAGAGATATGTAAAGCAAGGATCAACCATGTAGTGAAAGAAAGAGAGAGAGAGAGATATATAGGGTTAACTGTTCTTATCATTCTTCATTATTACATTCACACACACATAAACTTCACCTTGAACAATATGAAATATATTTGCATGTATTGAAGCATCTCTAGTTTGCGTAAAAGATAGTATAAACAACTGCTGAGCTATTAATAAACAAAAAAAAGCTTCGTATGCTGCGTAAGCTCAATATTGGACGGTGATCGCCCTGATCTAAAATATATGTAGGTCACACACTGGGCACGTCTTAGCCCTTCACAATAAGTTTGGGGTATAAAGAAAGAATGTCTTATGGTTTACATGTCCAGTAACGTTGGCTATAAATGATGCTTGAAATCAGTTGGCGGAATATAATAATTATCGGATAATATCAGTAGGACTTGATATCTGCTATATAGTGAAGCCAGAGCAGAAAGGCAGAAAGACTGAGATAATGGTTCAGCCCATAAAACCTATCAAGAACAGCCCTATAGAGAAATCTTAGTCAACTTTAAACTTGATGTATTAATTGTTGATATATCTCTAATATACAGATTAGGTCCTAAGATGCCGAAAACAGAAATTGGATTCAAAAGAAGGATCTTTGCTAGCTTAGCAGATGCCACGCCTGTGCCTATTTTCCAGTCAAGTGATAGACGGAAGACCGAAACAAACAATTAAATCAACCTGAGCTGGTCATGTAACAAGTTGACATCCACACGTGCCACATCTACGTGAGTGTGTGTGTCTGTGGGTGAGTGTGTGTAAAAGATGGTGACAATTGCCAATGGCTGGATGTAATTCCCAATCTATGAATAACAAATAGGCCCGTGCCAGGCAGCCGGCTCCAGGCCCCCGAACAAACTAAGCAACTTGATGGTGGGAGAGAGCTAAGGGCGGGTTAGGCAGGGGCTACGGCTAAGGCTGGGGCTTCTGCTTCTGCTGCTGCTAGCAAATCAAATCATAATCTGAATTTTAAAACAACCGAAACAACAACATGAATGTTGTTGCTGTTGTTGTTTTAGCTATTGGTGTTTGGATAGGCAAATGCAATTTTACAACGTGTTATTACATGAAACGTTTGCCTGAGGCAGCGTTTGTGTTGAATGGGGCGGAAACGGATGTGATGTGCCGCCATCGCCATTGCCATTGCCATCGCCATCATCGTCCTCTCCGTCTCGACATGTAAGTCGACAGCTTGTTGTGCTTGGGCAGAAATGAGATGGCATGTATTATGCTATAGGACATACGCTTTGACGCCTTTTGATTTGATTGTCTGTCGCATCAACACGCGACACGCCCTCTGCCCTCTGCCCTCTGCCCTCTGCCCACTCTCGCGCGCGCTTTCTCACTCTCTCGCTATCTCTCTGACTGCCAGCAGTCCCACAGGCATGAGCGACATTTGTAATTCAAGTCAAGTTGTTGTTGTTGTTGCGAAGGACTACGGATTATAATTTCTTTTCCGTTTCAATGCATTTCATTTCCGTGTCCAACGCACGAGCTGGCACATACACTCACACACATGTGTCCTCCTGTGTGTGTGTGCTTTGCATTTTTGACTCAATTATAATTTTTCATGCAAAAATGAGCGCCGAGTGTCGCAGTCAAGATGCATAAGTAACGCTACTTGTAATCTGATTACATAACGTGATCAAATTAAAATGCATACAAGTATTCATCACAGAGGACATACACACACACACACACACACACACACACACACACACACACATCATCTACTACTCATTTGTATGCATTTGGAATTGAATGCAAATGAAATGTTGCATACTGTACGCAGATAAGTTGAATGTCATGTAAGAGTCCGTATAGGCAGATAGACTATATATATATATATATATATATTTATACGATCCATCAAGAATCAATTTAATCCAATTGCATAAAGCGCGTGTAAGGCAAGAGTGCTCCAGATGATACCCTCTAAACAGACTTAAAATTATTTGAAAATGTTTTCAAAATAATATAAAAATTGTTAACTTGGAACAAAGTCTATTTACATATGATATATACATATATATATATATATATATATATATATATATATATATATACATATATATATATACATATAAATAGATTATATTTTTATTGGTATTTACCCATTAAACATCTTAAAAGTAAAACAGCCTTAGAGACTGATGCGTTTCTATTTGATATGATAGAGTGCTTTAGAGTAGTCAAGCTATTTGAAAAAAAATAATATATATATATATAATATATATCTTTCTATATATATATATTATATTATGTATTATATATTGATATTTTAATATTGGCATCATCAGCCTGATCCAAATAACAAGCGAAAGCTTCATCACCAATGAGAACTTGCTTTCTAACCGATAGATCCTATAGATAAAAAAAAAAAAACAAAAACAGGCAAGAGTCTAGTCTAGTTGAGTAATTATAGAATAACTCATCTTCTGGATATACTATCTTAATACAATTTAATTATAAACTTAATATTGATATATATTGATGCCAAAGCCCAAGTTTCATCTATTTGAAATGTGTTCAAAAATCCTAAGTATTCATTCCTTGTGTTTATTTGTCCCTTGCCCAATGTTCTTCACCTAATGCTTTAAGAGCCAAAGCAAATTATCGATGCTTACCGATAAGTAAGAACTGAGTTATCGAAAAAGAAATGACAATCTTGTCTATTCTTAGGATATTCCAGCAATTGGCTTCCTACGGACGGACATTTGGCATGACAAGCTCGATTTCCCATGTCGTCCTGATTAGGTATATAGATAAATATTATGTCCCCTGCCACATCCCATTCCACCCCTGCTGCATATACATTCACAAAGCCTTGAATGCCTTAAATTACCATTTACAATGGGTATACAAGTAAACTATAATGAATCATGATTATATATTTTATAGGGATCTGATCATGAAAAGCGAAAATTTGCATAAATGTATAATATTGAAGCTCATAGGATTTTGAATCACACTTTCAAAAAATCTGAATGCTTTCAACTCAGGTTTTATATCCTGAACTTATTGCAAGTCGAAGTTTTGGGTATAGTTTCAATATAACAAAATTTGAAAACAAACTAGCTACGTTTACTGTGTGGGTTACCGCAGTGAATACCCAGATTCTGGACAACTTCCCCTTCCACCTTCCACCCTCCACATAAATTTCCAAATTGCGTAATTTATATTCATATGAATGTCATTATCACATTCTGAAAAGTTGAGTTGTTCAACAATTCATTTCCCATAGTAAACCCCATAAGCGGAGCTGCCTCGTAAACTGCGCAGTAAGCAGAGCGGCCCACATGTGTGTGGCTATGTGTGTGTGTCTGTGTGTTTGTATTTGTTGTTTGTGCAGTTGCATGTATCAAAGGAGCATAGAATTATGTGCTGGGTATCTCCTAGTCGGACACTCCCTACTAGAGGGCATTAGTAGCCTAATATAATTGATGATTTAGCCTAATAATACAAGTTTTAGTATTTGTATTAAAAAATTTTTCTTCTTTTACTTTTCACACAAGGTTCTGCAGAAGTGGGCGTGGCAAGAAACTCAATTTCCTATTAAATAGCTGAAGGAAATCTTCCATTGTCTTGGAAGTCTTGTTTTGTCTTGAAAGTTTAGAGTCTCTAGGTCTAAGATGTATTAAATGCTAATATTAATGCAAAAATCGACTCTAGGCGAAGGTCAGGCTTAATCCATATTGATTCTAGCTTGATAAACAACAACCACTATTTGCGTAGATCTAAAATAATCTTATAGATAAACATATATACATAGTTTCTAGTCGTGGCCCCTAGGGTTGCATCTGTACAATCTTAAAGCTATGGCACGCCAAATTACTCTGTTAGTTTTAAAATTTGGAATTTATATGTAAACTATTTCTAGAATTTACAAGCTATCGGGCATCATCAGCGATATTATTGGCTATAGCCTTGACATCAGGCTAACGTAATAAAACAGACTTTCTTCTTCGTTTCTCTTTCTTCTTTCTCAATAAAACACTTAAGTCTACATTTGTTACAGGATTGGTTTGACAAAAAGGAAAAAAAACCACGTCGCTTAAACTTAGTACCAATTTGCGCATACAAACTCTATAAAAAAAAGTATATATATATATATATATATATATATATATATATATATATATATATATATATATATATATATATATATATATATATATATATATATATATATATATATATATATATATATATATATATATTTATATATATATGTATATATATATATATATATATTTATATATATGTATATATATATATATATCTATATGACAGAAATTTTGATGTTTGCTAATCGATTTACAAATGCTTCGATAAAAAAATAAATGTATTTTTTGTGTTTGAATTCGAATCAAAGGCGGAATTGAAGCTAGCCAAATGTAAAAAGTCTCATTTTTGAAATAACGATTCGTGCAGTCCGAAATGAATTGCAACGCAATATGAAGAATTTAATGAAAATGTCTGCGCCTCTCATTGCGTATGCGCTGTTATCACTATTTTGATCTGTGGATACACCTCTGGTTTAGCATCCGAGGTGATTAGCTGCACCATGCGTTGCTGTAGCTCATCCTGGCTAGCCTGAGTGCCGGGCGGGATCATCCAGATAGTATCTAGAAGCGAATGAAAAAATTGATACATAAAATTCAGACTCAAATTTAAATTCCACTTCCGATTGGAAGATTGAGATTCTGATTTATATCCTCAGACTTGGACTATTTCTGTGCACCACTCACCGCCAAAGTACCAACCGTTGGGCGTACACATGCGCCACATGATGGCCGGCTGTGTGGGCATCAGGTCAGCCAATATATCACAAGTTTCGCCCGGACGCAGGGACGGCACATTGATGCGTTGCGTCTGTATTGGCGATGTTAAATAACAGCCGTTGGGCCAGCGTTCAGTGCCATCGTTTTGCACCTGAAATGCTTGCTGCAGTGCATTCACATGCTGGCCCTGCACAATCTTCATCGAAGGCAATGATTGCAGACTACAAAAGTCCAGATAGCAACCGACGGCAGTTTGCAAGTTCCTGAGCAACAAAACAAAAGTTAAATTAGTGTTTATCTTGGCAATACCGTGGTTGACACGAACTCACCAGTTGCTCATTTCCAAATAGAAACGAGCCGACTCGCGATTCATTTGATTATTCATGAGACTCTGGAACTGACTTATCAGATCCTCGTGGTCTGTGGTGCCCATACAACTGAATTGCTGCAAGAGCAGAGAGTCAATATCATAGTCATTTGTTGGCAGAGCCGACCCGAGGCCCTTGATTTGAGCTGCTTGGGCGGGGGATGGTAATGCCAATGCCGAGACTGATGATACAGACGAGGACAAGACGATGCCCGTCCCAGGCGGTGCCGGCAATGGTATTGCAATGTTGCTTGTGTCCATCATTGGATTTGTTGTTGTTGTTGTGTTTGTGGTAATGCCAAATAGCGGTTCGCATTGCATATCTTGTAGCAATTGCTGTTGCATTTGTTGTTGCTGCTGATGCTGCTGTTGCTGCTGCTGTTGCTGCTGGTGATGGTGATGATGCTGCTGCTGGGGTCCCTGCTGTGGCGGCGCCTCCGTTGTGCTTTGTGACTCGTAGCTTTCCTCGACGTCCATAGCTACTGTGTATTCTGTGTGCTTCAAATACCTTGTTCTCAAGTATTTCGTCAAATCTGCAAATCAAATCGTAAAATGCGTTGTAAGCATATCGTTGTTTTTGTTGTTGTTTTATCGCGCTGCAATAGGAGAGACAATGGAACCTGACATATTCACCTTCCAGTGGCGATGTGATCCAGCACGGTATTGAAATTGACGCACTCTATTTGATTATTTATTTAACAGCCTTGTGCACATTGATGTGCTTCGCACTTCTGCAATTTCGTCTTTACATAAATATGGACTAAAACATTAAAAACGGCTACAATGCAACAAAATATGCAGTATGACCGTATGGGTGTTACCTTTAAAATACCCAGTGAATGCTTCAATCGAAAGATTTCTTAAATACTACAACTATTTCATTTTATGTTACCTCGATAATAGAAACCTTTAATTATATTCTATGTACTATTGTTTCGTTCCCTGCTTATATTGGCACAGCGCACAGAAGCACCAATATAGTTTATTTAAGTTTAAGGTACCAAATATGTGGAGCCAAAATGTAAATAGCTTATGAATGTAATGTAAGATGTACGTTAAGTTTTAACAGTAGGCAACAAATTTTGTGTATACTACATTTATTGAGGGACCTATTTGTACCTTGACATATTAGGTGTTGTAAGACTTTAATTTATTTATTTGTGTCAACAAGATAACATCAGATGCTATGTAGATTACGTAGACTGTTAAATTCCTCACATTTTTACAGCTGTGCATTTTACATTTTCCAATAGTGGAAAATCCCAAAAAATGTAAAGTGTGGAGTAAAAATGTTATTAGCAGAGCCTTATTCATGTGTGATGCCTCTTGGTTGAGACGAAAGTCCAATCTTAAGTTAATTGAGAAATATGAACAATGTGTCGAACATACAATTTTATTTACTGGATATTACTTAATACCACCTGCACTTTAAGCAGGCAAATATCGCTTATAATTTGAACCTATTGCTTCCTGGACATTTTCATATCCCATCTCAGTGATACAATCGGAAAGCTCCGATTTGATGCGATCCACTAAATCGGGACCATCGAACACAAAAGCCGTGTAGATCTGCAAATATGAGGCGCCAGCTTCAATTTTCTCATAAGCATCCTGGCCAGATGAGATGCCGCCGACACCAATGATGGGTACGCTGTTATTTATTAATTGATACATCTGTGCGATCATAGTCGTAGAGCGCTGCCGCAGGGGCTCGCCGCTGAGCGCTCCTTCCTCCTGGGACTTCTTGGAGGTACTCACATTGTCGCGGGTCATCGTCGCATTCGACACGATCAGGCCATCCACCTTGCACGTGCTCATGTCGATGACAGCGGCAACATCCTTCATCTCGTCAAGTGTCATATCGGGCGACAGCTTAAGTAGGATGGGCACGTACTTGATGGGCTTAAGCTGGGCACGCTCTATGTTCACGGCCTCGAGCAGCTCGATGAGCTGATTTTTGCTGTTCGCATTGTACCCTTGGTCTTTCGCATTACTGTAGTTAATAACGAGATAGTCAGCAACGGGACCGAATGTCTTTACTCCTGCCATGTAATCGATGACGGGTGTATTAGAGCTGTAATTGCGTTCCAAATTGACGCCCACGACAGCGTTGAAGCCATCGGTTTGGCGTAGTCTGCGCAGGCGCTCGGCCACTGCCTGGTAGCCATCGCTATCGATACTGTTCCGATTGATAATTGCTCGATCGGCGCTCAGTCGAAAGATGCGGGACCTGGGACTTCCCTTCTGAGCCAAAGGCGTAACGCTGCCAATTTCGATGAAACCGAAACCCAGATCATTCAGTCCATGTACAGCCTCGCCATTCCTATCGAAGCCGGCCGCCAGCCCAATGGGATTACTAATGTCGCAGCCAAAGAATTTAGTCCTCAAGTTGACGTTGTCCTCATAATTGGATGCAGGATACAAGCGATACTTGCAGGCCAGAAGAGCCAAATTGCAGCCAGTCTCGGCGGGCAGCAGCCGCATTGTCGGTATCATCAACGCTCGAACAAGACTCTCCGGCTTGTCGTATGCGGTCAGACCCATATATAATGCCGCGATGCCGGCCGTCGCAACGCCCAAGGCACGGAGTCGACCCTTTTTCAAGTCAAAGGCATAGGATCTCAGAGGAAGGTTGGCACCACTGCTCGACAACGATTCAACTCACCTTTGATTGTGGGTGAGGCATATCTAAGAATTTTGATAGAGCAGCTTCGGTGTGGACAATTGATCGGTGCAGTTTCCCAAATTTTACCTATAGTTTGACCTATTCATGTTTTTAACCCTTTCTATTTTCAATTGGAATTATATACAAATGTGTGACATACGAATCAATTGCAACTAAATTAATCTTAATATACATAGATAGAGCTCATGGGAAAGGCAAAGCCTGAGCGTTAAATGAGTGTTTAGAATTTAATAATTTATATATATATATATATATATATATAATGGGGATTATCAACTGAAAAGTTCGACACATTTCCTGTTCACATTGGTGGCGCGTAAATTCAATAAATTAGATTATACATTACATTGTGAAATATTGATGCAATTGCAGTTCTGCTTATATCGATGATCTATTATCGACTATCGATGACCAATTCAGTGTTGTGCAACATTAATTGGATTGTGCTACCAGATTTAAATCAAAGCGGCATAAAATTGTGTGAACTTTAATACATACGGACAGAAAAAGAAAATAAACAGTGTAAGACAGAGAGAGAGAGAGAAGGAGAGAAAGTAAAGCAAGATTGGGATAGTGAGCGAGAGAGAGAGAGAAAGACAGGGAGGCATAGGGCTGCTGGAAATCAGTACTTATGTCGTCTGTCACGAATAGACAGCTTTGCTACAACGTACGAGTCGATCAGAATAAACAAGCATAATTTTAAATTTTTGGAAGCGTACATACAACAAAATTTCATCTGGTTATACTTTCTCTCTTCCCTCCAAAGCATAATCTATAACTCAGAGGCTTCTTAATACCCTCTTATCCCATCTACTCATATAGTTATACGTCTGCGAAATGTTGAGGCTACACGACCTATATGGCCAATCATATGCTCACGAGTTTCAGGTGAGTGTGCACACATATCGCGCCGCCCAGTAGTCAGCCGACTGACGCTGAAAATAACACCCGTTGTCCGTACAGTTCACCAATCCAGACTCCATCAAGAACTCTGTTAAGCGCTACAACCAGCAGCGCGCTGCCGAACGGGACGAGAACAAGAAGGAACGAGAAATACCTAAGGTGACCAAGCCACGTTTCTGCAAGATGCGGAACACTGGCCGTGATGTGCTCAGCATGGTAACATCGCGCGACCTGGATATCGAAACGCAGATCTCTCTGCGACAACTCCCCGACACGCCTCGTAGCAGTGCGAGCGGCAGCACCAGCGTCAGCAGCTTGGACAAGATCGGCAACGGCAACGATCCCATGCAGCACGCGAGCCGTTTGGCAGGCGGCGCAGATGCAATTGCCACGCCAGTCAATAGCAACAAATCCAAGAAGATGCGCTCCCGCAAAGGGAAACGCGCAGCAGCCAAGCTGGAGCGGATAGAGATACCAGATCTTTATACAGCTCATATAGAGGGGTTGCATCGACAGGTCTGCGCTGAGCTGGAATTCATGGGTCATGTGCAGGCGGAACGACCCAAGCGCAAGTGCAAGCAACGGCGCCTGAAGCAGAAGTCACAGCCGCAGCCGCAGCCACAGCTACAGTCGCAAACGCAGAACCAACACCAACAGCAGTTGTCTAAGTCGAAGCATTCATCCAATCCGAGAGCGCAAACCAACAGCCAACATCAACATCAACATCAACGGAAGAAAATACACAAGGATCCGGAGCCCAACATGATACTGCAGCGCCTGCAGCAAGTGCTAAGCGAGGATCAGACACCAAGAGCGAAGCAGTTGTCCTACTACACGACAAAGCATCCGACACACTGGACAGATATTATATCAACGCCCATCACACCGCAGTCAGCGCAGACGAAGGCTTACGATCTGCTGAATACGGCCAATTCCGATGCGTGCCTGTATATGAAACACCGACAGCGTGTCGAGCTGGAGCCAGAGCCGCTTGAGGACAGTGATCTGGAGCAGGAATATGCGGACCGTCCCGACTATATGCGCTATACGCAGCGCTTGCCGACCCACCAAAGTGATCCGGATATGGCCGATGGTGCTCGGCATAGAGCCTGTTTCGTCGAGCTGGAGCCGCATCCCAATTGGATCAGTTTGCAGCGCAGTCTGAAGCCAATGCACTACACATCCCAGCGATCCGATACGGACAGCAGCACGCTTTGCGATCAGCAGGAAGGCATCCTGATGTCCGACAATGGCCAGTCGAAAGCTATCATCGGTGACACCACCTTTCCGACTATATCGGCGAAATCGAAAGCCAGAAAACACGAGTACAGCCGGCAGCAATCACCATCGGCTAGGCACAAGCAGTTGGCGTCCAAGTCGATTATCAAAAGCTCCAAGGGAACGCGACAGACGAAACGCAAGGCGACGCTGGTGCAGGAGCTGACAACTGGACATAGGGCACGTCAGCCGGGAGGCGGCGACAGGAGTCCGCAAAGTGCTGCACTAGCGATCTCCTTGAAGCAATCGGAGCAGCCCCACTTGGATGTTTCTATGCCAACTCTGGTGCCGCGACGTCGCAAGGTACGCGCCGTCATCTGCACTCGCTCACTGGAGAATCTGAAGTACCAAAAGATGTCCATCTATAACAAGATCTCGTTGACGCAGGAGCGCATCATTTCGGCTCTGGACAAGCTGCAGTGCAGCCTGCTGCAACTGCCGCTGATCCACACCTCCAGCCAGGAGAAGCAGCGACGCGAGCGCAATGCATTCAATTTCTGTGTGAGATTCTCGCGGAACTACCTGTATCCACTGCGTGGCATGATCGAGGATGTCCGCTGCACGCCTGTGGCGAACTTCATTAGCGCCACCTCAAACGAGGCCAGCCAGCGGGTGGTGTGTGTCTACGGTCTGATGCACCACTCAGTCGGCAGGTATCAGCGGCAGGTGCGCTATTTCCTGCTGGACAAGGTGCCGCAAAAGCTGAGCGCGCTCATCGAAATGATGTACACGTTGACGAACGTCTGCCTGGAGAAGGGTGTGCTCGATCGTCAGGATCCGGTGGTGGAGTGCCTGCAGCAACGCTGCACCAGCTTCCTCACGTTCATTGAGGACATGCAGGAGCAGCGCTTCCAGCTGGCTCGCGAATCCTACAGAGGTCTGCAGAGGCGTGGCTACGGCTACGGATATGGATATGGACATGGCCTGGGACATGCACATTTGCATGGACGTGGACATGGCTCGGCTCGCCAGGATATGCACGAGCGATACAATCTCAAGATGTGTCTCAACGACTTAAAGCTATACGAGCCGCGTCTGGTGCCCAAGGAGCGCTGCGACAAGCGGCGCCCGCGCATCTGGTTGCGTAAGCAAAAGATGGCTACAGAACCGATCACTGCCCCGTTGATGCCTGGAATCATGTTGAGCCAGGGATCAGAGATGCCCCCAGAGCAGCCCAGCGAGTACGTGCCAACCCACATCGAACGTGTCCAGTGTGGCGATCACCGAGAAGAGCCAAGCAGCGATCCCGATGAACCTAACCAAAACCAACAGCTGTCGAAAATATTGGCACTTCTGCAGCAGCCCGGACAGGAGAAACGGGAACTCCATCAGCAGCTACTGGAGGCCATGGAGCATGTGACCAAGTCGCAGGTGCGCGAGGTTCTCGATCCACTCGTGCGCTCCCTGGGCGTCATGTTGGATAAGAAGGTAACTATAAACCCGACGAATTTAAGTGCTTCACACCCCAACCACTCACCCACTCACCCACTCCAATTCCACCCACCAAGTTTGCAGATGAAGACCAATGAGGAATAGTCGCTGGCTGGACCCAAAAGACTCAATAAAATCTATTTTGCACCTTTCGTTTTCGATGAGCCAAATTGTAAAGTTGTCGATTATAGTGCACATGCATGCGTAATTAAATGTTTCAAATCGCTGTCGGATCAATAAAACGTTTCCTTTTGCTTAACACTCCAATGCCATGATCACCCCTGACTCCGATGCTGCTCGGCTAAGCTCCATTGGCGGGCAGAGCGCAGAGATTCAAACGGCTCAGTCGTTCGATTGGTAAAAATCTCATCTATCTATAGCCATCATCAAGTCGATCTTCAGTTTAGAGTCAACTATCACTAGCAACAATGCATAATAGACTAAGGCAACATGACCACGATAGAGATAGCAACAGAGCTGTAGAAAGAGAGCGCAATAGAAAGTGAAAGCTGTGCTTCCAGATTAATTGTCATATATTTTTCATATAGTATAATAGCTTCGGAATAATAATACAATTTAGAAAGAGATAACATGTGAGATAGAAGATACAGAGAGAGAGAGTTAGAATAATATATAGACAGAGTGTGAGAGAGAGCGAGCTTGTGTTACAGGCAACTTTTCCATATATGTGAGCTAATCAAATGTTCATTCGTGTGTGTGTATTATAGCAACTATGTAAACACAATTATATAGTTGAGTATACTTTGAACATATATGCCGTTACTCCCCCTCCCACACTACGCGAGAGCCTGGACGAACTCGTGACAGTTCTGGCAGCTGTTCTTCTCTAAATGCATTTATCGTGTAAAATGCAATTTACATATAATAAAAAAAAAGTTGAGAAAGATATATATAGCATATGCAAATATATATATATATATATATATATATATATATATCTTTATATATTTTAGTACATCCGAAAGCAGCAATAAGCTCTCCCAAGTGGCGAGTGTGTGTGTGTGTGTGTGTGTGGAAAAGTGGCTTAACACCTTTTACCGTTTGTTAGCTTTTGGACCTTCGAATTTCTTGATATTAAGCTCTAAGGAATTTCGTTAGGTTTTAACTTTGTTCAACAACTGCGAATACTACAAATACCATAAACATCTATAATATACAGCGAAAGGTCTATTAATGTAGTGTCTCCTGGCCATTCCCTCCGGCCGCCTAGTCCGAGCAGGTCGTGCACAGCGGCTTGTTGTCCTCCACGGCGAACGTGCTCGCCGTAATGGGCGTCAGGCACTTCTGCAAGCAGAGAGCGAAAAGCATTGAGAAACACATTTGACGCGAGTCCATTGCGCGGCACTCACCTTGCACTTGAAGCAATCCCGATGCCACTTGGCATTCAGCGCCACAATCGCGTTCTCCGTTATCGGCTGGCCGCAGCCGGCGCAGCGCGCCGCGAACAGCTGCTCGAAGTCGACGCGACAGTAGGGCCTACCGTCTCGCTCATAGAACGAGGTGCCCACCAATGGCGTCTTGCATGGACCGGCGCACACGAAGCACTCCTCATGCCACGACTGCTCCATGGCCTTGATGGTGCGCTGCCAACAAAAAAAACTTTATCTTAATACATATTTCGAAAATCTCTAACAAACATTATAATCAGCATTAGCCATATATATATATGAGTTAATGCATAGCATGTAGCCACATACATATATATGCACAATCATAGCCAATCAATCGCGCTTACTCCGCCCCACTCGCATGGCCTTGATGACGCTAATTGGGCGGAACGAATAGTTTTTGCAGTCAGTGTCGCATCTTTAATGCACTTTAAGCAAAGATTGGAAAGTCTTACGATCGTAACTTAAGCTACTGATAAATCCAAGGAATATATTTAAATAAAGAAATTTAAATAATCAATTAAAGAAATGAAGCAAGAGGGAGGAACTTTAAAAAATAAAAACATATATATAAATAAATAAATAAAAGTATAATCAAAAATATAGAAATAAATAAAAAAGTGTAATAAAAATAATAAAATTTTTAACAGAAAGGCATAAATAAATAAAACAAAAAAAAAGAAATTAAGAATTTTTTAATTTTTTTCATAAAAGCTAATTTTTTAAAATTTAATATTAATTTTAGCTAATACAAAAATAGAACAAAATAATAAAAAGTTTAGTATGATATGCAAAAAAAAAAAAAACATTTAAAAAAAAAAACAAAAAATTTAAAAAAATTAATTAAAACCTATTATTTATTATCCAATTCTAATTTTTTTTAAATATTTTATATTGTTTTTATTTGCTTAAATGTAATTATAGAAAATAAATGTATTAAAAGAAATTATATATGAAAAAAAAAAAAACAGAAAAAGAAAATTTAAATAAAAATAAATAACAAATATAAAATATTTGTATTTTTTTAAGAATATTGCACAGCACCACAAGGCGCATTAGCGATGTCAAAGCAGTTGAACAAAAGCCCATTGCATACATTCAGGGGCATTAGTTCTATATAGTATATGAGTGTGCATACATGTGTATATATCTATCGAAATTAACTTCTATATTTGAGGCAGCAGATGCGGATTCTTATAAAGGACAACATTGAATTGAGGCGGGAGTTAAGCGATATTGGACTTTTCAAGTACTTTAATGGCAGACTCTGCAGGAATAGATGGCATGATTAACTTGGACGTAAATAGCTGTATCTGAATATAAATCAATATTCTTTCAAGAGCTGCACTGAACTTAGCGAAAACTCAATCAGAACGCGCCCCAGTTGGCTGCTTCAGAGACACACTTTGAGCTCTTCCCATAATAACTGGCAGGTCTTTGGGGAAGAAGCAATAACATCGTATTTCTATTGAAATATATTTAGATATCTAATTTGATATTATTAGCCAAAATTGCTGTCATAATATGAGCTAATGATGTGCTAAAGTATATTCAGCAGTGAATCGACATCTGTTTGATATTTGACTTCTGATCTGTGTCGCTGTCTGTATCAAATGATTATATTCGTGTCAATTGATGTGCCGTGCCTGCAGAGCTGGATAAACTGGCTGTGCGATATATGTATATAAATAGACATGATATACTAAGTAGTATATACGATGTATGCATAGCACTGGCTGAACGCATCTGCATCCGCACAAATGACGACTAAAATATAATCAGGTTTCGTATGCATTACACAAAAGCTTTATAGACTAGATGGGCAAATGTTGACAGTATTCATAACGAGCCAAAGTTTATGGCCAACAGGCGCGGGCGATGATGTCAATGGTGTTGTCTATGACCCACCTCACCATTGGGTTACTTACCTCCAAGATGGGCTTCTTGCAGCCGAAACAGGTGCCCGAGTAGTTGCTCACGAAGCAATCGGAGCAAACGGGATCTCCGTTCTGTATGTTGAAGGTGGGCTCGGTGATCGGCTTGTGGCAGTCCTTGCAGGCGAAGTGCTCCGGATGCCAGGTCTTGCCCAGGGCCGTAATGATGCGCTGCTGTATGACCTCATTGCACTTGTGACAGATCGATTCCGACTCCGACTGCGTGAATATTCAGATAACAATAGAACTTGCACTTAATTAAAATGAAAATCACGTCGGCAATGCGTTCAAATATTTCATAATTTCATTTTCCACAGTTTACAATAAAAAAAATGAGTCGACTGAATGGATGACTAAATATGAGAGAATGAATGGGTATATATACTCCGTACTATATACTACATATATGGTGTATGTATATATAATTATATGTACATTGTTCAAAGGGGCATGATATTATGCCTTGGGTTCATAAACCGCAACAACAACAACAACATTTGAGTAATTCAAAGCGCAGACCACAAACAACTTTTGCTCTTTAAACAACAATCAGATGATGAGCATCAGCGTTCTAGTATTTTGATGGCATATATTATATAGCAATAATTTTGTTTACCCAGTACATATAATCTACAGATATTTATATATATATATACTGTTATATGGATGAGCAACTGTGAGCTTTGACATGTTCTATTCATTAATTAAACATCAGAGGTAATCAAGTCTTATAATTATTTATGTAATTTACCCGTTTAATTTTCACATCAAAGCTTCTTAAAAATGTATATATAAAAGCCCACTCATAGCAGAAAATCTAGTATTCGCTTTAATCTATGCTAAAACGAGTAAGAATATTGCAGTCGGGCGTCATCGACTGCATAATACTCGTTCTCGTTCCCAAATTAGTTTAATCAATTTTGGTGGGTCTCAAGAGGGATATTTGCTAAGCTGAAGACTGTAGACGAATATGCGAATATATAGTTTTAGTCTATCTATAAAAGGGTTCTACAGCAACGTAACTCTCAAGTTAAGGATCCAAACATATGGCAAATAAAGCTTATGTTCGATTTGACAAGGATATATTTAAATTTCAAGATTATCATATTATTTCATCGATCAGAGTGCATCTTAAAAGTGACTCACTTGCCACATTTTGGGGCTCTAGCGCAAAAACTGTAGAATATAATGTTTTATACGATTTGCCAGGCCCCAAATAGACGTCGACTAGATATTTTTAAGCTTGCAAGTCTCTAGCACTTTACCTATTAACATTTGGACATACCAGATAAAGAATTACCTGATTTGTCACGTCCCAAGTGGGCGTATCGGGAAAATCCTAAGAGTCTATCAGACTAGAGCACCCGCAAGGATATATTCCTGTATTCACTGTATTCAATAGACGGACATTGCACAAAACTAATATACTCTGTTCACTTCATGAACGAGTATAAAGATAACAAGCTTGCATTTATAAATACAAAAAAAAAAATAAATAAATAAATAAGAAATTTCTCAATAACCTTAAATTTGTTAATAAATTGTTTAATTTGTTGGAAACGCTTGCAATTCCTGAAACGTAGTCCTCTGAGTGATATATTAATAGCAACTATCCAATCAATTCAATTAGCTAAAATATATTTTATGGCCAAGGGTAAACCTGAAATCAGCTGACTTAATGCTATTCATTTAATACAATTTATTATTGGCTTCAACAATTTGAAATGTTCCTATAAAAGTCCGAATGAGAAATGATCAAATTAAGAATTTCAGTTTCGGCTCTTTGAATGTGTTCACCTTGAACTTTACACTCGGTTCAAAAAGATTGGGTCTGACAGATTGGGGAATTTAATGAGTTATTTGGAAGGCAATTGTAATAAATTGCATCGCAAATACTAAGCCTAGGCTATGACTATAGTAGATGACTAACTGTATTTAATTGCAGGTGTATTCCATATAGCCAGACTATATATGCGATTACGGTCGACACGTATTGGACATTTAGTCCGTTTTCTACGGCTCACCATATTGAGTACAGTCGCCCATACTAACTGTATGGGCCACCCACGGCGGTGTGTCATGGATAATCACACATGCATACATATGGCGAGACTCGTTAGCCGAGTTGCAAACCATTTCGAGGTGTTGCCATAGGCGTTAGCGGATTGTTGCTGATAACGGTTAGGTCAAAGCAAAAACAAAAACAGAAAGAAAGAACAAGGCGACGTCACCACATAACGAAAGCCCCAAGGCAAGTGGTAAACGGTAAATGGCAAACGGTAAACGTCAAGCGGGCGCAAATAATGAAAATCGTTGCTCATAAAAATGAAAAATGGCAGCAGGTCGTAAATTTGACCAATTTACACGCTGCACTCTCAGCAGGCAGAAAGAGGGGTAAACGCATTCAGCGCTATGCCTGTTGCTGCTCTATTTACAGTTGGGCTTGCATTTGTGTGAGTGTGTGTATGTGTTCGTGCATCCGTGCGTGCATGTTGCTGGCAGAGAAGTCAACGTCAGCGCTCACCAAATTTAATTTGTTCGAATTAAACGCACATTAATTTTTCGGCTAGCAATTGCAAGCACTTTTGCTGCCTGACTAGCGCTGTCAGTTGTTGTTGTTGTTGGTTGTGTACTTGCTTATTTAAAGTTTGCGCCAGATGTAGCAACAGCAACAGCAACAACAACATTAACAATAATGAAGACGGCGACGTCTCACTTAGATCATCGCTAGAGTTAGAATTGAATTAAACAAATGAACGCAAATCGACACGCAGTGAGAGAGAAATAGAAAGAGTAAATAGGAAGAGGTAGAAGGAGAGCGAATATGAGCGAGAGCGTGAGCGCACTTCTCGCACACACACTCCAAATAAGTCTGCCCTACCATAAAAGAAAACAGTAAAAACGAAGACAACACCAACGCCAACAACAACAACAGCAACTCAGAAGCAAACAAACAAAAGGCAGCGCGCAACTTAACGAAACATTTTGGCGCCCATTGGCCAGCAAACAAAAACAAATGAAAGTAAGCAGCCGACTCAACGATGACGAACTGTTAATGCTCTGCAAGACTTCGATAATTGAGACAAGCTGCAAGCAAATTACGGCTTTAAAACTCTGCCTGAAAGGTATAATAAAATCAGATTACATATTGTTAACATACAAATAAGTATTATATAGTTACCAATAGTTATATATATTTAACTATACGTAACTATACAGTTACCTATAAGAACGTTGAGAACGTTTCGGAACTGAAATACCGTTCCATTACACTTGTAAACTAGAACAAAGTACAATAAATAGTAAGAGTTTTTTTAAATCCTCTTTACAACTTTTTCAATAGAATTTGATTTATATTTTGGATGCTTTGAGCATTTCTAGTTACAAGCAAATTCCACTGCTCACCTGTTACACCTGTATGTAATGTGTTGTTGTTTTGCATTGATTGAATTTTGAGCTCTTATCAGTTAATTGCGGCAATCAGAGAGCCGACTAGGTTGCCAAATGAACAGAACAGCAACAATAAATAATAACGTAAACAAGCGTAAACAATTTAGCCGGCGCAGTTTTCCCTTGAAAAGCCAAACAAAGCGCAGTAAGTGAAAACAATTTATTTCAATTTTTGTTGAATTTATATTTTATAGTTTGCTTATTCAAATGCGATAATTAAAATATTGCGCGCATGATTCACAAATCACACTCACCCTCTCCCTCTCTCTTTCTCTTTGTGTGTAAGGTCTATTTGTTAAATTGCTGCTGTTGTTGCTGCTGTTGCTGCCATTGCCCAGAGGCCATCAATCACTGCTGTCAATCAACGAGGCGCTATGTTTAGCCATACAAATTATTGCTTTCGGCCAACATTGCGTATAAGTAATTGGCATTTGAACCACGCCGGGGCGTGGCTGGGGCGGGTGGCACAGCTGAGCTGCTCAAGATCTCAGAAGATCACTTAACACTGGTCATTGACCCTGACACACAAACACAACCGATCGTATGCCAACTACATATATGAGCATATCTATGGCCCGACACGCAGCTATATGGAGCATTATTTTCGGACGACGTCTGCTCCAGCTGCGCACAGTGCATAAGTCGATGGAACTCTTCTTTATGGGGCAATAGAAATTAAGTTTAAAGCCCATTAATGACAGCTATAAAATAATCAAACTGCAATTATTTTACTTATCTCAATTTGTCTACTCAAGCCACTCGGAAGCTTTTGTATAAATATTTTATTATATTTTATAGAAATCCATTCTTGAATCTAGAAGTGACATGGGCAAGGTCTTGCATATAGAGAAGCCCTTAGCCAATTTCAAATTTTCTAATTGACAATTTTGGAAGATTCAACTTGGTATTCAGATATTTATATTCATATATAGTTATATCTACCTATGCAGAATATCATTTTATTTCATAAATCTCTTCACTAACCATTGTTGCCTTGGCTAACAAATAGAAATGTATTTAAATATATTTATATAATATTTATATATTTAAGTATGAAACATCGTTTTTTTTAAGAAGCGAAGAATAAATCATTCAGATCGATTGGCTGCCAAATTTAGCCTTGGAATGTCGCCGAATGAAAATGATGTCAGAGCAGAGCTTGGAGCTGAGAATTTGGCTTTGGCATCTGTTGATGGCAGTCTGCCTTTCGGCTCACTTTTGCTTTTCCCAGCAGAGATCGTGGGCGTTGCGCCCAGCTCCACGCACCACGCTCCACGCTCCACGCTCGACATTCATATGTATATAGATCAACGGCTTTCTCGTGATCAGCTTCAAGTGTCGTTTGATTTACAATTTTTGTTTCTCTCTCGTTTTGGGAAAGTTTCATGTTCGCCCACTGAAACAAGACGCCAACTGGAGGAGGCGCCCAAGCACGTTGTTAAATGTTTACAAATATTGCTTATGAATAGTTTTTCGATTTGATGAGCTTGTGCTGGGGCTTCTTTCAGCTGTTTTTTTTTCGTTATTTTTAGTATGATAATTATCCAAAGTACCAATAAGGCAAGCCACTCCATATGGAGGCGCGCTTTGTGCGCAGCTCAGCAGAAGCAGCACTGAACAAGGGCGAGCTCGACTATGACTATGCGACTGCTAGATACTCCGCAGGCGAGAGATGAGCAGCGGACATTGTCTTTGTTCTCTTTGGCCAGCATCTGGATGTGGATACGAGAGCGAGTGTCGCTTGCAATGCCTATTCGCTAGTCATATTATGGGCACATACTAATTAGCCCACACGAACTGCTGTAACAAGCAGTGCATATATACCTTTGTTTCTCAACAAATGCGGGGTATTTGCCAAAAAAAAAACATGATAGTTGGTATTTGGTTTCTGTTTTTGTGGCTGGCTTGTAACACATCAAAATTCCACTCGCCATGAATCTTGCACCTGGTGAGCTAACACCAACTGTGGAGCTGACACTTCACACAACAGGCCGCAGCACGCTGTCGGACGTGGTTGATGCGGCGTATACGCAACGGCAACGGCAACGGCAACGGCAACCTGTTTGCCCGGGCAGCCGCCCACACGCCACACTGAGTTGTTAGCCAGCTGGGCAGCCAGTTGGGCGAACCAGCTCAAACGGAGAGTGAATTCGAATTCGAATTCGAATTCGAACTTTCATCTAATGGGCTTGCCTGGGTCCAAAGGCTCCTGAGCTTATGATTTATTTGATGAGACTGATTCGCATTATTTGTGGCACAGATATTCACTTACCATGTTGAAGCTGTCGTTCCTTCCGGGCTTTGGCTTAGTTTGCTTTGGATTTGGTACAGAGATTTGCTACAACGCACGAGCAAATGAAAACTTGAACAAAAATGAAAAAAAAAATCAAACTTATATTTCTGTGGCTTTCATAAGATAATATATGTTAACTGTCAAATCAAAATTCAATAGAAGTGAATGAAATAACAAAGCCAGCTTATCGTAGCTCGCTCGCACGCTAAGATATGATATGCTATTCAAGGCAAGTGCACAAGGAAATGGAAGTCGATGTGGAAGTGGAAGTCGAGTAACATGTGCGATATATGCGAGCTAAGCCTTCGATAGACCAGATAGATCAGATTTGAATTGATTTGACAGAGTGCCGCTTGGAGGGCGGCAGAGCTAAGCGCTTGACGTGGAGTGATTGGCTTGAAGCTGCCGACAGAAAGAAGAAGCAGATGCATCGTCAGCCAAATGACAAAATGATACACACACACACACACACACTGAGGCACACACTCACACATGGAGAGAGTGAAACTTGTCAGACGAAATGAATATTGAGAGCGGCAAACGAGCAAACAAAAATTAATATTAATAAATTGTTACAATTACATTTTTTTCTTGGAACAAATTTCAGTTGAGAATATTTTAAGTGAAGCGTCCGAAAAGTAGAAAGAAACCAAAAACCGAAAACCGAAAACCGAAAACCGAAGCAAACCGCTAACCGAACCAAACCGAGCGAAACGAACGAACCGAACCGGCGAGCGTCGACCAAGAAACTGAAATTGAAACCGAAACGCAGCGAGCAGTGAAGCTAGCGGCGGCAATAACGACTACGCCGGCAGCAGCAGCAGCAGCAGCAGCGACAGCGACAGCGACAGCGACAGCGACAGCGACAGCGACGTCGACAGCAGCAGCACAAATGGACTATAAGAGCCCGACGGAGCAGAGCGCGCGCAGGCGCCGCAGTCATGGACTGGTCCATGCACAGCAACAGCAACAGCAACAGCAGCCGCAGCCGCAGCAGCAGCCGCATCAGCAGACCCGCAAAGGAACGGCACATCAGGAACGTGCTGCCGGCAGCCAGTTGACCAGCCGCAGCAAGGCTGCTGCCAAGCAAAACACAATGCCTAGCAAGTCCTGGACTAATCCCATGAGCGTGGCTGTTGTGCCGCCGAGTCGCCACAGCAATAGCAACAGCAGCAGCAAGGCCAGCGGCAGGGGCAAGAAGCACACTCGCTGCACGTCCGCGAGGGAGTTGCAGCGGGATGTGCAGCGGCCGCCATTGACGCCGCCGCCAGCGACGGCGCGTGTGGCCTTTGGGCGCAGTTGTCCCGGCGCGCTGTCCACGCTGGCCATGGAACAAATGCCTGTGACTTCACTGCTGCGCCGCAGCGGCGGTGGCGGCGGTGGCGGCGGTGGCGGCGTTGTCGGTGGCGTCGGTACCAGCAGCAGCAGCAGCAACCAAAAATTCAGACAGGACACGCCCAGGCCGAAGGCATTGCAAATGGCTCACGATCAGCTGGAGCTGCAGCTGACACGCATCGAGATGGAAGCAACGACGCCACCGCCACGACGACGCAAGCCGCCGCCGGCGAAGACAGTTCGCCGCCAAATGGAGCACCCGCCGCCGGTGCCGACCGTGACACCGCTGAGCAGTGCTCGCGGCCACAACTCCGGCCGAGCGCGAGCCGGCGAGCAGCCGGATGCAGCTGCGAGCGCGGAGCGCGTGGTGCCGCTAACCCAGAATCCCCATCTGCTGCCGCCCGAGCAGCGCCTGGCGCTGCTCGACCTGTTATCACACGGCGACTCCCACGAGCCAGAGATAGTCAATCCGTCCACAGACGCCATGCGTCTCACTCTCCAGATGCTGTAAGTATACTCATACATGGCTCCACATACATACAGACGCACACTTGGCTCATGTGGCAGCGGCGGCGTCGTCGTTGTCGTCGTCGTCGTCGGCAAATGATGTCATCATCGTCGTCGTCGCTCCGTGCTCTGAGAGCGTCAGCTGCGCGCTCTCCAGCGTTTGGCTTTGCCATTGCCATTGCCAGTTTTTGTTTAGTTTTTATTTTTTTTCTTTCGTTTTTCCTCTGCTCGCACCTCGCCGCGACACTCCTCCGGCCGCCTTCTGGCTCAGTCAGCTGCCAATGCGCTGCTGACGCCATCGCTGGCGCTGCTTTCGAGTTACTCACCCAGTGGCAACTCCGAACTCGCTCGTCGCCCATCGCCCATCGCCCATCGCTGCTGCTGCTGTTGGCATGCAAAGATTTTTGTTTTCGTTTTTGTTTTTATTATTGTTTTCGTTTGTTTGTCGCCCGCAGTTTGCGATTATAACTATTTACTATTAAGTGCTACCTACCTGTCGACACACACACACACACGCCGCGTCTCCTCGGCGCGGTTGGTTAGCGGATCACCTGACTGGAGCAATCGCAGCTGACAGCTGACATTATCTCTCGACTTGGCCCTTATATCGAAAAGGAAACTGATCAATACAAGACTCATATATATTGATAAATACATCTATATATATATATATATATATATATATATATGTGTGTGTGTGTGTGTGTATGCATATGTATATGTAGGAAGTTATGTATATGCTTAAGCCACTTCACTAGATATGCTCTATGTGACCTTAAACCTGGAAGCTAGACAAGCTGATTTGATAGACAACTTCAAGTTACTCAACATATTTATAAAGAAAATATTTTATATATTTTTTATATATATATATATATATATATATATATATATATATATATATATATATATATATATATATAATATATATATATATATATATATATATATATATTTATATAGACTTTATGGGTCAGTAGAACTCGCAAGCATTTATGCTGATACGTAAAATCGTAAGACTTTGGACAACAATTTTCCCCCTATACAAACTGCAGTCTTATCTAGTCGTAGCATTACTTTGGCTCTTTCTCTCCCCCCTCCCAGTATCTCTCACCCTCTCTCTCTTCCTCTCGCCTCCTTCTCTCTCTCTCTCAGCCGAGACGCGAGCGCGCAGAGGACCTCGCTCCCGTCGCGAGAAGAGGATAAGCGCCGGAAAGGGGCGAGAGCGAGAAACGGAACGCTCCCGAACAGACCGCGACTCTCTCTCTTCTCACGCGCCCTCGCTAGAAATCACCATCCGAGGACCTCTCTCTTAAACTCTTTAATCCCTTCTCTCTTCCTCTCTCCTTTTTCTCTCTCTCTCTCCTTTCTCTCTTTCTCTCTCTTTCTCTCTCTCTCTCTCTTTCTCTCTCTCTCCTTCTCTCTCTACCTCTCTCTCTATCTCCCTCTCTCACTATCCTCCTTCGTATGTCTCCCGCTCCTTCTCTTTTTCTCGAGTCTTTCGCCTAGGCACATTTCCATATACTTCTAGCAGAAATGTGAAACTTCTTTGGCTTCTCTTAACTGACGATGGTTCTTGGTATAGTCCGTATCTGCAGGCACTGGAATACCTGTCATGCCTCTAAAGACAAAAGTTGTCTCAGCACTTTTAGTGGAACAAAAATGATATTCACTCGAGTGAATTTCCTTCGCCGAAACGTTGAATACATCCAAGTTTTCGGCCTTTTGCGCCACAGTTGTAGCACCTCAATGTGAGTGGCTTGCGGTTGGGTAGTCGTGCAGCGCATTGGGCTAGCCAGCATAGCCGCAGCTAGGTTAGACTCTCTGTCAGCTACGGGAACTGAACTTCCCCCTGGGCCTGGCCCTGGCCCGCCGCCGCAGTAGGTGTTTGGCAACTGTTTTCCGCAGTCGAGTTCGGCTGATATGAGGAATTCTCTCGTAAATAAATACGACGACCTCTAATCGACAACTGTTTGCGATTGAAATTCGCGTTCGCTTCTTTTTTTGCCTTTGCATTTGTTGTTTCTTTCAAGATAAAATTTGCAAATAATAATGCCCAAATGAAGCGCCATTACTGTAACACTCGCTTGTTGTTAGCCCCAGCCCCAGTCCCAGCCCATTCGGAGCTGCGACCGCCTTTGCTATGCCCTTTAGAATCTATCGATAACGCAAGCTGCTTGGATTTGGGCGTGGGGTGCGCTAATGTTGCTGCTGCTGCTGCCGCTGCTGCGCTTTATTTGTTTGATCAATAACTTTGTGCCCCTCCAATCAGCGCGCCCAACACTAACGACCCCATCGTCGTTTATTAATGAACTCTTCGACGGCTCCAGTCGGATTGTGTCATATTATTTGCGTGCAGTTAGCTACGGACAGGTAGAGAAGAGAGCGCAGGTAGGTAGATTCGTTTGCCATTAGCATGGCAAGCTTTGGCCTTAGTGACCCAGACCCAAGTGGCTGCCATCACATACTCTAACAGAGAGTTCTGCGACTACGGCTGCCTAGCTGAAGCTAGTTCTTAGACTATAGTTCCAGCTGGGCTTCAGGAGGAACTGCTGCGTCGAGTTCCTTGTTATAGATAAAGGGAAGTGAATGTTTTTATAGTCGAAGATACTCTATACATAGCCTATCGATAACGCTGATCGATAAAGGTCGATAGATCTTAAGCTACAGTTCCAGTTGGGCTTCAGGAGGAGCTGCTCTGCGCTTCGAGTTCCTTGTTATAGATAAAGGAAAATTAATATTTATATAGTCTACGTATCGACTATCGATAACGCTGATCGATAAAGGTCGATAGATCTTAAGCTACAGTTCCAGTTGGGCTTCAGGAGGAGCTCCTCTGCGCTTCGAGTTCCTTGTTATAAATAAAGGAAAATGAATATTTATATAGTCTACGTAACGACTATCGATAACGCTGATCGATAAAGGTCGATACACTTAGTCAATATATCTACTGTTGCCCGAAAAGAGTTTCGCGCTTTTCAATTCAATTCAAATCAAATGAATTCTAGGCAGAGCTGAGCTACATAGCGGAGGCATTTGTCTAGTCGATCTCTAGCCTAGAGTTAGGGCATCGATGACTCTTTGTTATTTGTTGGCATTGGCCTTGAGCTTTGGGCCGGGTGGGACATGTGTGCAACTGCTCTCAAGGGGGGAGGAATTGCGTGTCGACAGACCATATGACAGGCCCAATGAAGCCCGTTGGGGTCTGCTCGACTGTGACGTCAGCGGCGTGCCTGGCTGATGCAATTAGCCGGCTTTTGCGTTGTGCTAATCATCCAAATGGCAAGCGGCGATATATTTTGGGACTTCGACTTCGGGTTTGATTTATTAGCGTCAATTCGAATGTTCAACCCTTCTCCTTGCTCTCTCCCCACCTGCGCAGGCCGCTGGCTTTGACGCCGGGGAACTCGCCGTATATCGAGCGCTTTTGGGAGGGTCATCGCTATCTGAAGGAGCGCCAGCGACTGCACCAGCAGCTGCAACCGGACGACTTGCGCTACAAGGAGGTCAAGATACTGCGCTCGCCCAATGGCCAGCTATTTCTGTCCAAGACGCTTGAGGATGAGCTCAAGGATGAGAAGCATGTGCTCGACTACATTGAATCGGAGCTGCAACGCGAACAGCCTCCCGCAGTGCTGCCCGAGCACACCGCACGTCATCGCCAGGCGCTGGATGAACGGGCCGAGCTCGACCGGCAGAAGCAGCAGGTGAGCGAGTGGCGTGCCGAGCAGCGATTCGCCGAGCAAAAGCAGGAGGAGCAGCAGGTGACCAAGCGCATGCTTAAGAAGGCCAAGCTCATCAAACGCCAGAAGCAAGAGCAAGCCATATGGAGAGGCAACCGGGAGCAGCAGCAGCCGCAGCAGCAGCCGCAGCGTAAACCGCGGCTGTTGGAGCAGCAATTGGACCCCAACGTGGATCTGGAGCTGGACCTGGGCGTGGTCCTGCAGCTGCCTCAAAAAAGCGAACAGAAACCCAAAGTCGTTATCAAACAGACGGATGACAGCACAGCCAAGATCTTGAATGTCAATCAGAAATTGGAAGTGCAGCCTGGCAACAATAATGTGAAGCGGGTCAACGATGGGGAAGACGCACCCATTCAGGAACTGGATGACGATTTAGTCGATACACGGGAGCAGCGGCGGCAGTTCCAGAATCTATGCCAGAGCAGCCATCTCTACGGCAATGCCAATTGCCTCACACCCTGGACGTTGTTCTCCAAGTAAATATCAATGCCTCTTTCTCTGATTGCCCTGTCGACATAATCTCATTTACCAATTCTCTACGCAGCATTACCAACAATCTGGTTGACCAAATGACTCGGAATCTTGACGACGACCTGCATCGCAGCATCGCCAGCTTCATCAAGGACCTTGTGGACAACGAGACCAATTGAGTCTGAGGCTTCTACTGGCTTGGCGTGCCCATGGATCAGTTAGCATTAGTTCGTATACGGGCAGCCAACAAATTGTACGTGCTCCATATGAAAATTCGCTATGTATATAGATATATAACCATTTAAGTTTGAGCCTTAATTCAAAAAAGAAGATTCAAAAACAATAATCCAAATTATCCAAAGCTTTTGATGAACTGCAAGCAGCAGTAAGCTGACAACAGACGCTTTCTTCTAAGTAGCACTGGAAAGTCCTGACCACCGAGCCAATCTGTAGAGATATATACCTTCAATATTGGTCTAGTTATCTGAGCGACAACTGTGTATTGAGCTCTCAGCCCTCTTTTAATTCGAAGCGCAGGCTCTATGCGGCTTCAACAAGAGGTTTACACAGTTGTCAACTATAGTAATCGGATCTAATATACATTAAGTACATAAGGTCTGTATTAGTTTTGTTAATCAATTGATCAGCTGTTCCATCGGATTACAAGCCAACGAATAGCCCTTTGCTTAATCTTTTCGTACTATATCCTAAATACTTATTTCCCTTCGAGCTCAGTTTTAATTTAAAAGAAAGCTAAACCTGGCTGCTATTTTCTTACCTAATCAGAATGACATAGACCAATTCGAGCTGGAGTACCTCAGGGTTCTTTGCACATGACAGATACGTCAGCAAGTCAGTCGAATGGTAGAGCTACTGATAGACTCCACATAGCGACCTACGCTGATGACGCCGTCTTCCTCTCACCTGATCGTTCTGCTCAAGAAGCTTCTGCTTCACTGCAAACAGCTGCATTCCTTTGGGTGTTCGGGAGATATGCCTCTATGGGGCACAAACTGAATTCACATTTGGCATTTAGGGAAGGATCTAGTGATTCCCACCATCTCTAAGCTACTTGCATCAAATCTGGCTGCCTGTTGGCTGAGCTAAAGAACTTCAAATATTGTAGAATAGAATTGAAAAATAAATAAATAAATCCATAGAGTCTAAGACAAGGAATATAAATAAAAGAATTATATATTTAGCTTATATAGCTTAATAGGTTCGATGTTTTTTCAAAGGTATGAAGTCATATTTCGTCAGCGAAAGCTCCGCTTTCTTATATCAGATCTTATCAAATTGATAGGTTTTGATAAAGAAACAAATTTCAGGTCTATAAACATCAATTTTATTACAAGTATATTAGTTTGTTGAACGATTTAATAGACGAGTAAGAGTACTCCAGGGGATCCAGTGAAGTGGCGATATTTCAATCTCTCTACGCAAATTTTATACAACGATTACAAACAACACAGGTGGTATATAAAATCCAACAAGTCGAAAGCGTCTGTATTACCTGCGTATGGCACATACATCTCAAATTTCAAGTCTCTCGCTTTTGTTGTTTATGATGCAAGGACATGGCTAGAAGAATATAAATACCTTATGGAATCTGCCACGCCTCCTTCTGCCTGTTACATACATTTCCACAAAACCATTCTACCCCGAATTCCCAATTGCAAAGGCTAAAATTCAACTCAAATCATAAATAATATAATAATATCTAGTATCTCCTGCCTTATTCCTAACATTATCACGTATACTCCTCGCTCAAAAGTTGCAATATTTTTCAATTTCACTTTGTTTCACTGTTTCACAACCCGGACAATATGATTGGCAGCATTGCCTTGGTGGAACGACCACCCCCTTTCGGAGTACCGTTTTATACAGATTGGCATTCATCTACAAACAAAGACTGAGTTAGACTAGAAGCAGCATTTTTGAAACCTATTCAGTTGAGCAGCTCCATTATACAGAGTATTGCTTTGATTTCACACACAGCATACATTGATCGAGCATATTGATGTACAATCGTGTCTTCAGTACGCTCCTAAAAGTAAACAATTGATGCCAATTTCAATTAGCCCAAAGGTATGCAACACGGAAAGGCAGTTGGATGTCTAGAAACATTCGCATTCGCATTATCTTTTATGATTTTATTATTTAGTCAAATGTATGGAAATTAAATTCAATTTATACAATTGCGATCAATGCACTTAACAACTAACTAGTAACTATTACTACAAATTACTCACTATAGAACTATGGAATATGCCCTCGATCAGAGCCATACACACGTCTTTTTATATGGTAAGTTTAGTTCAACTTGTACACTTAACAAATTAGCACAATTTCAAGAGTACACAATCAGTTAGTGTGTGGGTGGGTGTGTTTGTGTGTGTGTATGTGGGTGTGTATGTGGGTGTGATGTCAACAGTGGTTTGTCGTTTGTGTGTTACAAATGCTGTGTCTTTAAGAGTAATGGCTACTTATTACACATAAACTAACTTAATTACAGACTATGCTTAGTGCGATTTGTGTGTCCGCCTGTGAGTATACATATATATATGCATATATATATAGATATATAGATATATATATAGATATATAGATATATATATAGATATATATATATATATAGATATATATATATATACATAAATATATATGTGCCTATGTGTGTGCGTGTGTTTGTTTGTAAAAAAAAAGTACAATAAATATGTTGCTGAGCTAAGGAATTGTACACATAGTATGGAGACATGCGGCAAGTTGTGCCCTCACAGCAAATTGGAGCAGCTGACCTCGGAGGCGGCACAGTTCGTGGAGCGTGGCAGGAATTGTATGTGCTGCCAGGTAGCATTGAAGCTGCATCAAATAGAAAGAGACAATCAGATATACGGAAGAAAGAGAGATAGAGAGAGATTAGTGAGAAGATCTACACAGCTAAGGCCAACAGCACTTACAGATAGCGCTCGGCCAACTGCCGCTCCACATGTGGCTTGATGCGCGCATAGTCCTTGTCCGCAATCGTGGTACTGCAGTGCTGTTGCATATATGCGAGCGTGAAGAGCTCGTTCTCATTGTAGGAGCGCAGGCCGGGCACACGCAGCCGGCGGGTCAGTCCCAGAGCCTCATAGGTGACCGCCTGATCGATGCCGGCTCCCTGTATAGCTGTGCCCGCATCGATGGCTGTCACAAAGCTGCTAAGCGCTCGCGCTGCCGTTCGAGCTGCGCTTAGCGTCACATGGAAACTCTTCAGCGCCTCCGGCGAAAACGTGCGCAGCTCATGAACGAGATGCGGCGGCTGGCCGGCGGACAGACAACTGATATCCGGCTTGGCATATTCAATCTCAGGCACCGCATCGCTTATGTCCGTGCTCTGGGCATTGAACTGCAGCAAAAAGGTCGGAAAATTGTTGATCAGCGCCTCCAGAATGTCCGTGCCAATGCGCGCAAAATTCACAGCCCTGCACAGGTTGGAGAGGTGGGAGAGGTTGATAACGAAGGAGTTAACCAATAGCGAAATACCTACACAGGATAGCGATAGTCGTAGTAGTTGTTGTTCACCAGCACGCGCGAAATGAGCAGCATGTTCAGCTTGTTCGAGTAGGCAATGGGCTGTGGGTGTTCCATCGTGTACATCTCGGACACAATGCTGAGAGAAGGAAATGATGGCGATTAGCAAGATGCGGGTATGGTATGGGATCAGGCCTGTTGTATACTTACACATCCAGCATGCCCAACGTTTTCAGCTTGTTCTCCATGCGCGACCGCCGGAAGGTCCAAATGGACTCCAAGTGCTCGACAAAGTTTAGGTTACTCAGCAGCAGATCGTTATAGTAGTTGCTGATGTAGTCCGGCTGGTCGAGCACTTCGCTGGGTATGCCAAACTGTAGCCGCATCTCGGCTAGCTTCTTGTGCATAAACTGTCGAGCCGTCGGCTCCAGCCAGCTGGCCTGCGCCAACGAATCCTGCAGCTGATTGCGCAAGCTATAGAACATCAGCTGGAGAAACTTTTCGTTGCCAATCGTCTTGTTTAAGCCGGATGGCTCGTGGCTCCGTATGCGAGACACTCCCTCAAACTGCTGCTTGGGCGGCTGCTGCTGCAGTGCGTCCACGGCAAAGGGCACCCAGTCGCGAACCACCTTGCTGCAGAAGAGCCAGCGCGGATAGGTGGCCGTCCGTCCATAAATAGCATGATCAAAGTGCTCCGCCAGCGTGCGGTACTCCTTTGACAGATGCGGCAACATTTGACGTGCCAGCGACCAGATGATAAAGTTGTTAATGGGTCTGCTCACAAAACAAACAAATAACAAACAATTATTATATATTGTGTCTATTAGATAAGGTCTCTTAATGCCGACTAACTTTTTGTCTGACGTCGAGATAAGCGTGGACAACTCGTGAAACACTTCCACATCACGCACCAGCACTTCCGTCTCCTCACTGATCCGCGTGTTGGGAAAGATGGCCTGCAGAGACTCCAGAATGGGCAGCTGTGCCAATAGAAAGACAAAAGATATTAGATGCATATACATAGAGAGAGTAGTAGAGATATTGGAATCTAGTCCCTAACGTTGCCATCTGATCTGAGGTAGCTGCAATTGAGGCGAAGATTACTAAGCCATGTTACGCTGATCTAACCCAACACCAATATGCATAACCATTTACAATATTATATATATATTATATATTATTAAGAAGGTCTTGGCCAAATTTAGTTTATCCCATTGCACTATTGACTTATGAAAAATAGATGCTTTTCAATATTGAAAATGGTCTATTCTATAGATCCCATAAAATGTGAATCAAAGATTTTCACAGACTTTCAACTTAGAAGTAGAGAATCTTGTACCAGAATATAATTATATGCATATCTGTCGTATTGCTATAATATTGCAGATAGATATACAGAAAGTTGTTGCTGAATGAGAGCAAGATTTCGGCTGAGGTGATTCAGACAGGGTTATTAGGATTCTCAGAGAATGAAGGCAAGGCGACTAAAAATGGGACTCTAACACTAAACTTGGAATGGAAAGTGATCAAATTGACGCAATTCCGACACAGACCGGGTCGGATTACTATCCAAATTAAGGAGGAAATCGAGCTAAGCGGATATGGATACATCTATAAACTTGCATACATGTCATATTTGATCAGTTGATCAAAAGAAATATAGCTATGCAAACATATACTATTTGCCAGGGGTAGAGTCGGTAAATGTCGTATAAACCAGTTTCGCAGCGAGTTGAGAGAACTTTGTGCAACTAAAATGCCAAAGTGCTATCTAACTATGAATCAATTAGTATGCTGTCAAATTGATTTGAAACTAGTTTTCGACAGTAATTGGGGAATCACAGTGTCTGGCAGAGTGTTTACCGATGGCGCGATGCTCTTCAGCTCTGCCAGGCGGAGCAGTTTGTTCTGCTGGCGCTCGCCGCTTCCCTTGGCTGACTCAATGTGATGCACTATGCGCCGCTCGTAGTGGAAAATGTCATCTGCAAACAGATCTGCCTCGCGCGACACGATGCCTGTAAAGATGCGAATGCATTAAGAATTGATCTCCGACTGGGTGATCATTCAAGTGCTTACCCATATTGATGGCAAAGTCGCGCAGGAGCAGCTTGTAGCCGCGCACGACTTCCTCGTCGGCATCCGGGCCATAAAAGAACTTGTCCGGCAGTCCCACGTCGCCCTCGTCCAGGGTGATGACGTAGTCGTAGGGCACATTATAGCTGTTCTCCACGCTCACACGATAGTAGGGAAAGATGCCAAACTTGGTTTGCAGCAATTTTAGGGCATTCTTGTACTCCCAGTTCTGCAGTCGATTCGTGGCCGAAATCGCCTGCCAACCACCTAAAACATTAGAAAGAGGAAGACAATTAGTATGATGCGGTAATCCAATATCCGGAGGAATGACCCATCACAGCTTCACCCTACCCCCTCCCCACCCCCTATCGTCGATGGCAACATCGAGCGGCGCTAATGAAATTCGACTGAAGCACAAAATATGAAATTTGGCACAACTTATGACAACTTCCATACAGATGCATAGACATATTAGAGCATTGCGATCTGTCACACACAATATGTGTCTGCGTCTCTGTGTGTGTGTATTTTTGGGTTTATAGCAATTAAAAGCGCTAAAATGTTTGCCTGCAACGTCTTGGAAATTTCAGACCATCTTGCAGTCATAAAAAATTCGAAAATCAGTTTAATAACAACAATTTATATCATAATGGGCAACCCTGGCTTTTAAATGCCCTATCGAAGATAGCATGTTATCATTTATGCTATATACTTTGCTATAATAGTATATGAGAGTAGAAAACTATACTACTATGTGAGTAAATAAAAGTAGAATGATATGCTATAATAAAAGTAGAATGATATGCTATAATAATTTTATAGTAAAATACTATGCTATAATAGTATTTCATAGTAGAATATTATGCTATAATAGTAAATGACATTAAAATACTATGCTATAATAGTATTTTATAGTAGAATATGATGCCATATTTGTATTTCATGATAGATAATTTTGCTATAATCGTATTTTATGATAGAAAACTATTCTGTAATAGTATTTTATACTAAATAATTGTTATAATTGTATTTTATGGTAGAAATCCGTGCTATAATAGTATTTGATAAAAGAAAACTATGCTATAATAGTATATGAAAGTAGATTACTATCTTATAATAGTAAATGACACTTGGATACCGTGCTATGCTATAATTATACTATGCTATAATTATATTTCATAGTAGAAGAATATGCTATAATATTATTTCAGAGTAGAATGTGCTATAATAGTAAATGACAGTGTAGAGTACTATGCTATAATAGACAGTATTGTATAGTGACTATAGTGTAAAAGTATTTCATAGTAGATAATTATGCTATAATAGTATTTTATGGGGGAAAACTATGGTATAATAGTATTTGATAAGAGAATACTATGCAATAATAGTATATGAGAGTAGAATATTATGATATAATTGTATTCCATAGTAGAATAATATGCTATAATAGTATTTCAGAGTAGAATACTAGCTATAATAGTAAATGACAATGATATGAAAATCTGTTGGGATAACAAAGAGAATCAGTTCAGCCAACAGGCTAAGCATATTTCCTTCCAAAACTATAAGGATTTGAGAAAAATCTGGGCTTATGGATAATCGAAACTCAACGAAACGATGTTAAGTTCTGTCATATTTCTTGGCTGGAAGCCAAGACAAATACTCTTCCAGCCTATAGCCTGGCGAAGTCGATGCATATAAAATTCCTCAAAATCTCGATTTGAGGACTTTTCAGAATGAAATTTTATATCTGAATATTTTCGACTTATGTTGCTCATATGGCTAAGAACTTTGGGCAGACTTCCGATAAGAATTGTTCAAAAACACTATAAGAAATTGTGCAACTATTCAATAAAGCGTTCATGCCACAGATAGTATACATTTCAGATAAACCTATCTATCTAAAGAATATACTTTCCATAGTATGAATAGTATGACAAATGGTTTTACAATTTCTTATGGTATTTTTCGACAACTCTTATCGGAGGTCGGACTCGTCCACCTAGAATAATCAATTTTGTTTAGGAGGACAAAGACAGAGACAGAGTGGGAATCCGGTTGATCGATTGAATTGGTGGACAGGGCCAAGTGGCATCATGCAGCTGATGGCATGACATTCGATCAACTAGCGAACACACACATTGGGCTCGAGTTTGTCAGCTGTGTTTGCAGCATTAATTAGCGTCTGCGAGGCGAAAAAAAGTGAGATAAAACCCAAAGTCTAATTCTCTAGGTCCGTGCTAGCCGGATTTGTGTGGTGTTATAGTTATATTTTATTTTAACAATTTATTGCAAAACAATGCGAGCAACTTAATTAACTTCAATTAAAGGCAACCAGCGACACTCTCTATATAAACTGAGCGCTGTCTCCGAAGAAGGCATCAATCCAGTGCAGCACCTCCAGCACTCAGCTTCTATCAAATTCAATCGTGTCCACGTTGCAAACAACATGAACAAATTTATGGTAAGTCAGCGTCTGGTGAACTGGATAGTGCTTGAGACGAAAGTGATCCAATGATATAATCCATTTGCAGTTTTTGGCCTGCCTTGCAGTGCTCGGCTGCAGTCGCTGGGCAGCGGCACGTCCTGATCTCAGTCGTCAGTCCTACCGCTATGACATCGGCCAGAACGACAATTTGGTATCTGGGCCATTGGTCACAACATCCACTTCGTATCAGCCAACAGCATCGGGCACCACCTACTACAATAGTGCACCCTCTGTGGGTCAGCTGACGACGGTTGCGGGCAACGTTGGCTTTGGGCCCTCCGCTCAAGTGAGCGGCGTTCAGTATTCCGGCAGCACCAGCTACTCCAGCGGAATCAGCGGTGGCGGCATCAGCGGTGGTGGCATCAGCGGTGGTGGTGCCGTTGCCAGTGGCGTCTCAACGAGCAGCAGCACCTACACCGGTGTTGTCAACGATCATATTGGTCTGGCTGGCATTTACCCAGGACCCGCTGTCAACTATAAGGAAGAGGAGGAATACATCAGCCATTTGGCCAACTTCCAGACACCAATTGTCAGCAAGCACTTCTATCTGCACACCGCGCCCGAGGATCACGATGAACAGCAGATCGTCCGTTATGTGAATGTTGGCAAGCCAAGGAAGAACTATCGCGTTGTCTTCATCAATGCACCCACATCGACCACCAGCAAGGCCAAGATCATTGCCAACGTTGCCCCAGTCGAGGACAAGACTGCCATCTATGTGCTGTCCAAGAAGTCGAACGCTCTCGATGTTAGCGCCGAGGTGGTCACACAACGTCCCGTCAACAACAAGCCCGAGGTTTACTTCATCAAGTACAAGACACCCGCGGAGGCAGCTCATGCCCAGCGCACCATCCAATGTAAGTTCAGCAACAGATTGAGTAGTCGGTAAAGGCGACACTAGGCAATCCAATCATTCTCTGTTTTCGTTTCTCCTTTAGCCAACTACGACACCTTGGGCGGCAGCTCGAGTTTCAGCGATGAGGGCATTGTGCCAACCTCCTCAGTCATCAATGCCCTGGGTGACAACGGCGCCTCCGGTGTGGTCAGTAATGGCTCCGGCGGTGTTAGCATTATTGGCACTGGCGGTGTACCCATTGCCGATTCCGGTGTCGGTGTTGGTGTTAGCTCCAACGACAATGTCCAGATCGGTGTGAACGCTGGCAGCAACGGCCAGGTGGCAACCGGCACTTCCAATGTTGGCACCAGCATCATTCAGACCACATATCTGCCCGCCAAGCCCATCAGATCCGTCAAGTACTAGACGTGCCATCTGCATCGTAACCTATCAAACCATGCCCAATCATCTGGCCAGCTCCTCGATAGCTGCTCGGACCACAAACACACGCCCGACTCTTGCTTCTAATTGAATAATCCATGGCGATTATTTTCTTAGAATATATTAATCTTAACTCTTGCGATATTCATTTTAGATACTTTTGCGATTGATGCAAAAAAAATGAAAACTAATTTTTTTTCTCAATTTTTTTTTAATAAAATATAAGGATTTCTTTAAGCATTCAAAAAATGTAAAAGCTGAAGTTTTGTTTTTGAGCTGAGGATATGGGAAGTTGTATGAATAAGAAAGGCGAAGAAAGTCAAAATTTGGAATCAACAATGAAGACATCATAATTTATTTTAGAAACTTAATATAATTAACAAATAAGACGTTCGGTGTATGGCACAAGCAGGTGACCAAATGCCACACCACACCTGCTGCCCGTCTTCACCTGCGCGATCCACTTAACTAACTATTTGGCAAGCTCTTCATAATTGTTGAAACTGCATTGAAAACTATAGAAAATCAGCAGAGCAAGACCTGCTAGAGCTGGAGCGACCACCAACCGAAAACCGATGGCAAATAAATTAGCGTCTTTATATAAAAATAGATAAATAAATAATAATAATAATGAGAAGAAGAAGAAGAAAAACAAACTAATACAAAAACAAAGCTGTATCAAAATCAACGCGCTGCAAGGTCGATTCACAAATGCAACGCATTAAAATTCCACAAAGTATTACAAACTATATATATATATATGTGTGTGTATATATATGCATACATATACATATACATATATATATATATATATATTTGAGTCGAGTGATGCTAACAAATTTATGATCAAATATATGGATTACAACGCTGGCAGCCTGGTATTTGGCTACCTGGTATTTGGCATCTATCTATATCTTGTATCAGAAAGCATCTGCATATTAATGCGGCGCGATCTTTGCATAAAGATAATCACACCTACTAAATAAAACGATACGATCTGTTGCCAGTGAAGTCTGGTCGAACATTTGTCCCTCGGTTTTTACTGTCAGCGCTCATAAAATGTTACATAAATTATTTCGCGGAGGCTTTCGGGTCGATCGGTTCGTGCGGTTCGGCGACATCCAAAAAAAGATATGAAATTATGGATATGGAATGCCTAATTGATAATTATCGTTTTGTTCGCCTTTGAATCATCTGAGCGCGAGCTGTTTATAACTAAATTAGTGGATCAGCCGCTAGATATCTGTCTCACTCTTAGCTTTATGCTCTGCCATCAATCAATGCTCATCAATCATCAATCAGTTCATCAGCTGCACGAGCTTGACAAATTATGTTTTGTGATCGACCTCCAGGCCACGGCCCAGCGCCAGAGGTGAATGTGTCGCATCTTCTGATTTTTCTTTGGATTTCTGAACTCAATCTGTCGCCTGGCTGACTCATCGACCTATTGTTGATTGGCTTGGGAGGCCACCATCTAAGGCAATCGCCAACACTCAAGACTAACAGCTGACGAATAAACATAATTGGACATTTGGCCAGCATCCGATCAAAGCTATGGAAAATCCAAGCCAAACCACTCTTTATATAGTCAAATATAAACGCATTTCGATTATTCAATTTACCATAATATTTAGCTAAAGGTCATGACATACGAAATATGTATTTGAAATATAATATACATAGAATGTATTGTATATGGAGTTTATGGTATATTGTTTATTTTTCCTTACACATTTCTATTATCCTGAACAATGATTACAAACAACAAGTTCGACTTAAACCATAGAAATCTGATCTAACTTGTCCAGATTTATAATATTAAAGAAAAATTCTATATATTATGTATATATACTGAGATACAGACTAGTGGTTCACATATTCGCATATTAATTGTCCTCGATCAGATAGTCCCATTAATATTGAGATGTATGAAACCATCTTTTAACTGTTTCAAATTTGCAAGTTAATCGATCAGCAATGTGATGGGCAGGCCAGAAAAACCCAGCAAACTAGTTTCGTTGAGCAAACTTTTGGCGATTGATTTAGAGGCCTAGAGTCAAAGACAGAGGCCGTTCAGGTGCCGTTTAATTAGATGCAAACAGCCAGCAAAGCCTACAGAAACTGGCAAAAAAAACTTTCTGTTTATCGCCGGACAATCTATGGATCTATTAATAATCTACTCAGCTGTGAGGCTAGCGCAGCAGTCAAGTTCAATGCCTAAACTGCCAAAAAGATACAGATATAGATACAGAGACATGCTAGATGTACGAATATATATTATATACATATATATATGTATTATACGAGACAGAAAATGAAGAGGCAAGCGGCTATTGTTATAGCGATCTATGGGCTTTATTCAAAATGTAAACCATGGCTTATATGCGCTGCATATAAGAATCAGCCACGCCCCAAGCGCTGTTGCTGAGCCAACTGGCGGCACATCCGTGAGATACATTTGTGCATTTGAGAGATTTGAATACATTTTTGGTAGCGTTCGCTGCTTGAGCCTATCTTGAAAGCGAGTTCACTCTATGAACATGTCCAAATTGTTATTGCCGTGTGCCAAGCTGACTAACAGCTAAGCAGCGCTGCTGCTGCTGCTGCTGTTGCTGATGCTTTTACTGATGCTGATGCTGCTGTTGCTGTTGCTGATTTACATAAATTACAACAACAATCGGATAACTGATTGCGCCGACAGCGCAGCCAGCGGCCATAGCCGATCTGGAAAGCAGCGCATATAAGCCAAGTGGAGCGCCAAGAAATGCAACCATTGCCCTCAAGCAAACCAAACCAAAACGTACTCAAACGAACGCGACGCGATAGCGATATCAGCAGCATTCAAGGATTACCACAAGGATAACTCATACAACATCAACAAAGCACAACAAACATCATGCGTTCCATAACAGCTCAATTAGTGTTCGGCTGCGTGGTCACCCTGCTGGCACTGGCCCAGGCACGTCCTCAGTACGGCTACGAGCAGCCTGGTGAACTGCTGGTGGGTGGCGTTGGCCTGCTGGGCCCTGGCGGGCCGGTGGTGGGTCAGCGGCCGCAGGTGCATCGGGGCGGCGACAAGTATCTGCCACCGGCTGCCACAACACCAGCGCCCATCATCAACAAGAAATTCTATTTGATATCGGCGCCTGAGGAGCGCGGCAACGATGGCAAAGTGAAGCATTTGGTGCTTGGCAGGCCGCAGAAGAACTATCGTGTGGTGTTCATCAAGGCGCCAGGCGGCGACAACGGCAATGTTAAGTATACAGCCGAGTTCGCACCTCAGGAGGAGAAGACTGTCATCTACGTGCTGAGCAAGAAGGACAACGATTTGAATGCCGGCGATATTGCTACACCAGCACCGACACAGCCCAGCAAGCCGGAGGTGTTCTTCATCAAATATAAGACCGACGAAGAGGCCAACCAGGCCCAGAAGGAGATCCAAGGGCAGTACGACAAGCTGGGCGGCACCAACGAGTTCCAGGAGGATAACAATGCGCCCATCACCTCCGTCATTGGCAGTCTCGAAGGCCTCAATCCCGATGGCAGCTACAACTACCGCCAGATCAACCCCACCAGTCAACCCACTGCCCAGTATCTGCCCAGCGCCCTGAACCTATAAGCCTTCACATCACGGAATGGAGACTTGTCCGCCCATATTCTACACCCGCCACCCTCTCGCCACACGCACACCGACCTCAGTCCTTAACTTTTAATAACTTGTTATTATGTGTTGTTTAGTTTTAAGCACATTTTTTTGTCGACTTTTTTTTGTTTTTGTTTTCGTTTTTAAAATAAATAAATTAACTGTATATATAAAAAGTACGCAACGTTTTTGAAGAGATACTTCTTTGGGTAAGGTCGCGTAGTTTCCGCGCTATAAAACGCCATTTAAAAAATTAATAAAAATGCCATAAATAAATTGAAATGTTGCTTAAAGCAAGCCAAGCAGCTAATAAAGGTCCGAAGCGGCCCAAAGCAAAATGCTCAAATGCAAATCAACGATTCAAACGTCCAAAAGTTCGACAGTCAACAAAGCGCCCGGCGCCCAAAATAGCTCAAAATTAGCTTAAATGAAGTGAGAAATCAAAATAAGCACATCAAATTTAATTATAATTGAATCAAACAACGCATCTCTTACTTCGAGCGATCGTTAAACTGACGCCACATGACAAAATATGACGTCGATGTTGAATGTTTAGACGCAGAGACGAAAACCAAATGCATGAATATGTATGGACTAAGAGAAACAGAGAGAGAGAGCGAGAGATAAAAAAAGAGTGAGAAAGAGGGAAAATGCTTTGGAACATTATTTCCTTAACAGATGGATAGATAAAGAGATCCATTAACTGATGAATGTGGCCTAATTGAGTACAGCATACAGACGCAGTTGAACCACATTAAATGATGATCGTAACATAACTGATTATAGCTAGACTAAGAGCTTTATACATCACTTATACATCAAAATGTGTATGGAGGTCATATGGCATATAGTAGGAGGTGCAGTCAGCAGTTAAATCAACTGTCAAATTTGCATATCTCTATTCAAATATTTGAAAGTTTGCGAGCTGCTGTCAGCAGTTGGCACGAAGTTAAGGCAACTGTTAAAATTTGCATATCTGAAGGTTTGCAGACTTTAGGTACTTAAATAGTTTTCAGGATTGCCTGATTTGTCTATCACATAACAGACATCATAATCAAGTTGCCATCCTAAACATTGGATGTTCCACGTCACGTCGGACTATGAGAAAATGGTATCTTATGGGGCAGCCTTGGCTGCTAGCATAATCCGTTCTGCAGCTGCTGTCCTGTCTATAGATTTATCTCATTTGGCAAGAGTCTAGCTAGTTACCTGAACTATTTTAGGCTAGAAATATCAACGTAGTTTAGTCTTTGCACACTTACTTAAGTGCTATGAATATTTAAAGTTGTGTTCATTAGAATAGTAGTGTTGCACTGCACAAAACATAAGCCAATTGAACAAGATCTGCGTTCTGTAGGAACATTGCTTAGCATAGAATGAAAAGAAGAGAATTTAAGAAAAATGTATATATTTTTATATTCATGTGCCTATATATATTATATTTTAGTTTAATTATTAGGCAAAAGAAAAATTCGTTCAGTAGCCATTCTGGAATATCTGGATGGTGCCTGTTGTAGTAGCTCAACTGTTTATCAAATTTGTCTCATCTTTGATACTCTCATCTTAGGATACTCTCATTTATGGAGAGACACAATCAGTAATGTTTCATTAGCTTGAGCCACCCTTGAGCAACCTTCGCGCAGTGAGCTGCGATCAACAAGATCATCTACATCTTTATCAATGTTTTTTCTTTGTGGCTTTGGCTATGGATGGGCAGAAGTGATTTTTCTTAATAAATCAAGTCATAAATCAAATTAGCTGTACCATTTTGCCAAATGCGACATGAAAGTGTGGGAATTACGCGTCAATTTATGCAAATCGATGCGCATCGAGGCCTGCATCGCCGCCGAAATCGATGTCAAGCCAGCTAGTCGTATTCTCAAAAAAAAATAAGAGAAACATATCGTTGTTGATATTTTAATTGTCTCGACTTGTTGACAACAACGCAGCCAAGCCAAAACGAATTAATCTACTAATCAGCTACGAGGCTGCGAAACGCACCAAAAGTTTTCAAATAAACACAAGAAGAAGAAGCAGAAGCAGAAAAGCAATAAAAAAATTTAAAATTTTGGACAAATGCAAGCGCAGATTAGATCACACTAGCTGCCCATTAGTCAAACAAGAAGAAGAAGAAGACGATGAAGAGTTGCGGAGGCGTTGAATGATGCGGCGTAAACTGTGGACAATGACCATACAAGACGTTTGTTTGCTCAGCGATAAAAGATAAATGAGGCAAAACTATGATCTATGAAATTTATGATACGTATATATCTATATATTACGAAATCTTTTTAAATATTATACATATACAGGCAACTCGCATAGTACAGAAAATGTGAGCAAAAAACGTATTCTTCCTGTTGCCCACAAACTAAGATTAGTTGTGCACAACTATTACGTAAATAATCTCCAGATCTTGCTATGAAAATGCTGTAACAACTTGGCTTTTAACGTCTCTTTTGTTTCCACTAATTTGCAGCAAGTTTGTTGCCTAAGTCTTTTGCTTTCCCGCTACTAATTGGCCCAGAAATGTGTGCAAAAACCACGTTAAGGTTCTCCTCAATGTATATATATATATATATATAAATATAGCATGGAGCTGTCAGCTGCCACAAACACTCGTGGCATCCACTGGCAGCATGTTGAGCTTTGTCATATTTTTCGTTGCATTGGAGCTTTTTGGCTGCGGCCTAGCTCAAGTGCCGTCGCGTTACTATTTGCCCCCGGCAGCAGGTGAAAGTCCTACAACGCCAGCTCCGATAATTACCAAGCAGTTCTACACCGTTTCGGCAGCAGAAGATTCAGATGAGCTGCAGCCACGCACCAAGCATCTGGTAATTGGGCGTGCGACGCAAAACTATCGTGTCATCTTCATACGTGCGCCCAGTGCCCACAACGAGGCAGTAAGGTATACGGCTGAGCTGGCACCGCAGGAGGAGCGCACAGTCATCTATGTGCTGAGCCGCAAGCAGCCTGAGCTGGAGTCGCAAGACATTCAAACGCCCCAACAGCAGCTGCAGTCTTCGGCAAAGCCCGACGTCTTCTTTATCAGATACAAGACCAACGAGGAGGCGGCCGCTGCCCAGCGTGAGATTCAAACGCAGTACGACAAGCTCGGCGGCAACTCGGAACATGCGGCGCCCTACGTGGCGCCAGTGCAGTCTGTCATTGGCGCCTCAGAGCCCGCAATGCCGCAAGCAGATTCAGCTAATGAGGGCCAGCTGGGCTACGACTATCGGCGACCGACAACGCGCTTTCATTAAAGAAAAGAGAGAAATAGTGCACACTATGTGTACGTGTGTGTATGTGTGGTGCTGCAGGCGGTTGGGTGGTGTCGAATTAACGATCGACCCATGCGCACCACTAAGTATCTTATTAACATTGCCGGGTAGCAGCATTTGCATAAAACAGATAAGCGTTAAAAATGTAGACAATACCGATTCAAATAAAACTCCACTAATCCAATCCGAGCTATTCACAACAACAACAACAACAACAACAGAAACAACAACAACAGTCATCATGAAACTAGCGAACGCGTAAATAAAAAAGTTCATCTCAACAGCCGCAAAGTGTTTTATTTTTATATTTCGCATACTTTTTGCAAACTTTTATAGTTTGTGCTTTGATTTTAAATTTTATACATAAAAAAGTGTTTTTTTTTTTTGTCAAAGTGCTATGACCCTGTGCCAACGAGGCGGATTAGCGGCTTAAGCCAAGGTAGGGCATATGGACAATGAACAGAGCTAAGGATTCATATATTTGAGACTTAAAAACATTCTTTTAGTTAACAAAGTGTTAGATAATAAGATATATTTCAATATATAATATATATATATAATATATATATATAAATTATATATATAAATTCTTTTATATTTTTTTTACCTCGTTTTTAATTTGAAACAAAAATTCTAACTAGAAAATTATGATTTTGAGATTTGCTTTATAAATTTGTATTGACTTTGCGTTTGCTTCAACACTTTTCAGCCTCGTTTTAAAAATGTATAAGTAAAATTCAAATTGAAAGTCCCGAATAAAGCCTTACACAATTTATAATAGCAAAAGAGCTGAAAAGCTTTCTTTGTGACTTTTCCTCTTGACATAAGAGTCCTTCTCCAGCTTAACTAGAACAAACCCTTCTACAAGATATAAGCATCTTTTATAATTAAAATATATATATATATTAATATAACGAAAAGAATCCTAACCCCTTTCCATTACATGAGCTTGTTCCATGTCAAGCTAGCACCTTCAATCTAATGTTTTTTATTTATAGAAATTTGTAATTTTGAAAACGTAAATTTTGTTCATGATGAACTTAATCTTGATTGACATATTCTGAATTGAGTATCTAGATACAGCGCATTTGGGCTTCGCCGAAGCCCTGAGCCAGCGAACTTCAGTTCAATTTACATAAATTTTGCAAGTAGTTAAATTAAGAAAAAAAGAAGAAATCGAAAAAAGAGACATCAATGCATCTTTTTTATATTTTGGCTTATTCGCAAGCAGCTCGTGTAGATTTATTTGCATTTGCATTTAATTAATGGGATTGTGGAAGCGGCGGCCATATCTGGACATCAACTAGACGACCTTTTTGTGATTGGCAGCCGAACCGAACCGCAAAAGACGGCAGCTATTAATCTTCAAATATGCATAAGAAACTTAAAACAAAGTAAAAAACAAACAAAAAAACAATACAGGAAAAGTTATGCAATCCATATTCCAAGGTCAATGCATTAATTGGCCAGACTAAAACAGTTTCTGTTCTAAGTCATTCGTTTTGGGCGAAGCCATTTGACCCACGCACACACACACCGCACAGTGGGCCTAATTGATATAGATTCGAGCATTAATACTACCGTCTGACTAATAACTATTTTTGGTGGACCGCGGATGCCGTATTCAATCGGCTTCTTTCAAGGTGGCTGCCGCGCATAAATCATAACGTTTTAGCCATATAAAATGTGGTCTTAAGTAAATGCCAGATCGGCCGCTCAAGCCGACAAACCGACAAAGCTCGCCCCAAAGCGCATTCAAATTATGCCAATTATAATGAAACTTTTCAATAATAAATATATAAATAAATATATACAAAACAAATACAATAAAACGACGGTGACGGCGACGCCGACGTTGTGGTTTGGAATTTCTGCTTTTAAACGCAAATGAAATATACAAATGACACAACATAATCGAGGCATCTTTTCGCTGCATACCGCCACCAGCCACTAGCCTTATCAAATGAAAATGGAAATGCTGCAGTTAACAAACGTAGCCAAATACCCGCTGATTTGCTAAGACAAAGTCACGACAAGTATGACCAGTGTTGCGTCTTCATTGAAACACATCGAACTGGCCAGAAAGATCTGGCATTTGGTTAGCTGCATTACATTTCCATTCATTTCATGCAAACCTATTTAGTTTATCTATATATTCAATTTAAATTTCTTTTTATAAATGCCTAGAGTATTGTTAACTCGTTGACTTTATAGCATTTGCTTTAGATATAACCAAGTAAAAAGTCTACAGCTGAGTTAATTATGCATAAAAATACATAAAAGCTCGCAGCATCCTTGTCTAGACATATTTCACTATCAGACTTAATTAAACACTCCAAAGAAGAAGGCGTCTTTATTGTTGGACTTCTCATTCTGCCTTTTACACACTTTCAATATGTATGTTTATAAACATTTTAATTGGTAAACATCAAACTCTGGCTGAGTATGTTTTAGCTGTCCGCGCCAATGAAACAGTCTAGAATTTCAGTAATTATGCTTTGGCCAATGTTTTCTACGAATTTTGAACTCCCGCTTGGGGTTTACACATAATTAAATACTTAGTACGTCAAACAAAAATCCCATTGCGGAAGCTTAGTGTCTATAATCTTCAAGAAAAATCCCATAGAATTTGTTAAGATGGAAAAAAGTTGTATAGAAGCAAAGAACTTGTTGTATTGAACATTTCGAACATGGACAGCAGACAAATTGCGTTCATTAATAATATTATCAGAAGAGAACCAAGGAACAGCCAACCAAGAACGTGCACGCTTACCAGATACCCTATACGACTAACCATAGAACATCAGCTAAAAAAATGTGCTTGAGTGAGTCACTCTACCTATATGATATGTTCAGACAAGTTTCAATTGATTTGAATCTAATCCTGATCCCTGACATAAAAGATGATCCTGTCTGAATGCTACATATATCCTATTACATACTATTCCATACCTAATAAGCTAAGCTATTCAGCAAACTCCAACAGAACACATCGATCTAGAACAATTGACTTCGCGTAATTAGTTTAACCTCTACATGAAAATATAATGATAAAATTGATGCGCTTTCAGCTATTAGCTGCGAATAGACGTCATCAGGCGAGTTCGACGCATAAATTAATTCACCCATCGATCATTTCGAGATCTCAAGGAATTCGCATTTGACTGCAAAGACAAACTGCAACGGAAATTGAAAAGAGATTTTTTTCTTGGAATATTTATCAATGTTTGTTTAAGCTTATACTGCTGCGTTGTCAATGGCCATTGAAGAGTTGCAAACTGATCACTTGAAGCTTTGATTTATGGCCGCGAAGATTAGCAGCAGCAACAGCAACGGCTATCGGACAACAGGTCACATTAAAGGAAGCAAGAGGAGATCGACTGCGCGCTAGAGTGCGAGCAAGAGTGTGAGGCAAACGTTGAGTAGATCATCAAGTCAAATGTCAGAGGTATGTTCGCATAGCCAAATAATTGAGCAATTAATTAGCTACCATCATATAGAAGAAAAAAGTCAACAGCAACAGCAAAAGAAATATGAATTTATGTTGAATATTGAGTATATTGATTAGGGAATCGCTTGGGGGCCCAACTATGCGACTATAAAAGCCCAAACGGCAGCGAGGAGCAGCATCAGTTAATCAACTGAAGCAACTGAAGCCTAACCAATTCTTAATCCAACATGCGTCTATTTGTGGTAAGGCGTAACGGATAGCACACAAGGATTAGCTATCTACCTAACACCTACACCTACACACACGCACACACTCGCACTAACTCACACTCTTGCACACTTTTAGACACTTTGCACACTCTGCGCCTTGGCACACGCCAAGCCACAGGGCTACAATTATGGCAGCGGCGTCTCTGGAACTCTGACCACGACGGGCGGTGGCGGACACGGCACCGGTTTTCTGAGCGCACCCAGCACCAGTCAGAATGTGGCTACCTATGGTCCATTAGGAGCATTCCATGGCGCCGGCGTTGGCTCACTGTTGAGCAGCGGCACCTCTGGCTCCAGCTCTGGTTACAGTTCCGGCTCCAGCTCTGGCTCTGGCTCCGGCTCCGGCTCCGGTTACGGTGCAGTAGGCGGTCGCAGCACTTACAGCCAAGGCAGCGGTAGCGGTGTTAGCTACAATGGTGGACAATCCTCATCAGGCTTTGGCAGCGGCGGCTATGGCAACAGTGCCGCAAGCAGCTTTGCTGGCTTTGGCCAAACGCCCAATATTGGCTTTGGAGGTCTTGCTGGTTACCAGGCGCCCAGCTATCAGCACCAACAGCAGGAAGATCAGCATGTTGCCTTCGAAGCACCCATTGTGCACAAACAGTTCATCACTGTCGCTGCGCCCGAGGAACATGAGAGTCTGGAGCGTGTCAAGCATCTGGTGATTGGCCGTCCACAGAAGAACTATCGCGTTGTCTTCATCAAGGCACCATCGTCGAGCAGTGCCAATGTCAAGCTATCGGCCGAGTATGCACCCAAGGAGGAAAAGACCGTCATCTATGTGCTCAGCAAGAAGGATTCGACCCTGGAGGTCAACGATATCGCCACACCAGCGCCAACCATTCCCAGCAAACCAGAGGTCTTCTTCATCAAATACAAGACCGATGCAGAGGCTTCCCATGCCCAGCAACAGATTCAGGGTAAAGTCTAATCCTTACAACGAGCTTCTAATGACCACTTCTAACGTACATTTTCTTGTCACAGCCGAATACGATCGCATCGAGGGCTCCTCGGAACACACCGATGCTGGCGTGGCACCGGCCCAATCTGTCGTTGGCATTTTGGATTCAGGCAGCAGCGGCATCAGCTCCTCAGCTGGCGGCATTGGCATTGGCTCCTCTGGCAGCCAAAATTTCATCAGCAGTAGCAGCGGCGGTGGCAGTCTGGGTCATGCTGGTGGTCAAGCCATTATCACCAGCACCGGCGGCAGCGGCAGCAGCAGCAGCACCATCGGCCTGGGTACTGTACACAGGAGCGGCCAGACCTCGACATACCTGCCGCCTAGCCATTAGATCAGCTACAGCAGCAGCTAACAATTTTTTTTTTTCTACAATACTTGCAATAGTCTAAACAAAATAATTTTTTTTTTGTACTCCCTAATAAAATTGCTCTCTGAATATAAACAAAATATCTCCGAATCAATCATCTGTAATAGACTCTGATTTGCTAAATTCTAGACACTATAGCCCTCCCTTTGGCGAGTAGTTGCTGCTGTCGTTTGGGCAACTCACCCACAGATTTGATAGCCTGTTTGAGTAGCAGATCCGACTGACTCTTGTCCAGGGCATCGATGTCGCGGCAGTTGCGATAAAGACTGCTGATGGTCGACTCCACGGCGTATGCTCTCTCAGCGACATTGGGCAGCATGGATATGAAGCGATTCAGTTCGTTGAGTTCTGCAAAAGGAATGAAATTAGTCAAAGTGCCAGATGGTTCGAAATGATCGCAGCACAGCTCTTACCCTGATACTCATTGTAAGTCTTGTAGTTCCATTCGCCGCGCTTAATCACATAGTAGTCCCCGTTGGCGTATTCGTCGGCAAAGTTGCCGCATGCCCAGTCGTAAGTCTCGTGGCAGGCGCTCTTTGTTGTATTGGCCCAGAGCAGCAATTGGCGGCTACTCTCGACGCACTCGCGCTGCAGGCAGAGCGGCGCTCGCAAATGAAATGGCACCTCGGGCCAGAATGCCAGCAGCATGATGATAATCACGAGCAGCAGAGCGCACAGGCAGGCGGTGGCCACATAGAGAATGCGACTTTTGCGCGGCAGGCTCATCAGTGCATCAATGGATCGTCGTCCTGGAAGCAGCAACGCTATATATCCAGAAATTCGAACCGCAGCATGCAATGATGATATGTGCAGAAAATATGATTGTGAGTACGATGAATGAGGTGTGATGTATCTACGTTTATGCGCCCTACACGATTGCTTAACTATGTTCTCCCCATTGCAATTTCAAAGAGTTCTGGCTATATATAAATAAGTTCATTACGAAATCGCTTTATTTTCATGATTCTTTACAAACTCAAATAAGAGACTATCTTTCTTCTACACTCTTATCAAAGAACTACAATCGCTTTAAGATTAAACATTGTTATACTCAAGTTCCATACAAAATTGAAATAATTAAACAAAGTTTCCTCTTGTTATCTTGAGATTGAAGACTATCAAGTAAAGGCTCTAGAACGCAACCGTTTTTAATAGAATCTATTTTAGAACCGGATAATGGTATGCGAAATGAAATGAGTCATTATGAGCTGATTGATATTTAAATATGAATACACTGATCGAACCGGGTTCATATTATTTATTAGCGAAGTGAATTCCCCTTTCATTTTCGTCTCTCTCTTTCTTTTTGTTTATCTTAACTGCTCTCATTAGTGTCGCTGCCTCACCTCTCAGTCCATTTGCTGAAGCGTGAGTCGAGTTCGGCGTGTTCGCTGTGGGCGTAACTCCGCCCCCCACAGCACTGACCCCGCTGAGGGCGTCTTGGCGTGCCGCCTCTAGCTCCTTGGGCGTCAGTTCAGCATCATCCATGTGCAGCTTCTGCTGATTGGTGGTCAATGGGGCCGTTTCGCTGCCTTCGATCTGAAGCTTGCTGCCATGGCCAATGCGCTCATCGTCTGGGCCCGTATGCAGCTTGTAGCTGCGATCGTCCACCTCATCGATGGCACAGATTGTCGGCTTATACTTGCCCTGATTCAGGGCCATGCTGTCTCTGAAGCACTCAGTCAACTAAAGATGTCTTCTACGGTTACCAGCTGTTGTCCCAAGTCTGCGCTAATTTAAGCGCATTTTATGCCTCACTGCAAGCAAAATAGAAAAACGGAAATAAATCATTTGAAATCACAGACACTTAGAAGTGGATGGGCGTATTTACGGCTATATGCCTATGCTATATCTTTGTATACGGCAATTTATAGTCGTATATTTGAGTAGTTGCTCGCTCAGTCGGTTGGTCGCATCTTATCGTCAAGCGAGCTTAACGTAACGCTTGATTATCAAAAGATTACCTTGTGGAATGATATACAAGTCGTACAGAAATAAACATTCACTCGCACTCAAAAGGCTATATAGAGCATCGCAGATAAGTCAGAAATCGCACGAAGATAGCGCCCACTCGGTTACTCAGATATGCGCAAGCAAGTGCTGTGTGATGCGTGATATATATATGTATATATAGCTTGTGCATTCCTGTCAACATTTGACTTCTTTTCAATTTTAAATTGACAACAATTGCTGCCAATTTGCGAACCAACTCAGGCAAAGTATTCTCTCTCTCCCTTTCAGTCTCTCTCACTTGCAGTTTTCCGATATAAACCCATCTTTAGATATATATATATATATATATAGAGCGGATTTTGGCTTTATTTCAGTCACGAATGTAATGTGCATAAATTTCAATTGGCAGGTAATTAAGAAAACTCAATATGATCTCTCTGCTAATTGTAATTGCCCATTGACATACAAATCTTGCACATTCATCGTCCATTCAGTTAGTGTTAATACTTTACAGTAGCCACCATCCACCCACTCGCTCGGATTGAGCACGTTATCAAAGATCCTCCCACCCAAAAAGCAGCTCAAATTAATGCCACGCCTTGGAGGCGGATACGCTGCAGTCGTGTTGAATAGCTGGGTCTAAAATAGTTTACAATTTGTAATTGTACTCCCAGTTTGTCATATAATCTGCGAATCAAGCAGCCACCAACTTATGTGCGGGAAAAGTCTTTCTTGGTTATGTGATCTCTGCTGCGTCGATCAGAAATACATATGGCACAAATATGCAGGGTATCTATTTGTTATTTTTAGCTTTTGTTCGTGTAAATGTGCAGCGTATACAACATATAGACTCAATCATCGAGCGAAATCGATAGTCGCCAGTGTTCTGATGATTTATCATGTCACTGCAAAAGTCTGCAAAGCTCCTGTAATCGTGATAAGCGATGGTCAACTTGAAACTTGGGCTGGATTACGAACTGTGGCCAGCCAGAAACAAAAGCCAAAATAAGGCGATAAACAGAAGAAAGGCATTGAAATGGGGCCTATCTTATCGTCCCAGCGATTATTGCTTAATTCAGACAAAGTTGTGCTCATTATTTCATTTTAACCATTCACACTAAGCAATAAAGAATTCGTATATCTCGACGCAAGTGTACGGCAATCAAAGATAATTAGTTGGACTTGCCACATGGAAATATAACTTCAAGATCCCTCCACACTCAAGCCGAATAACTTTTGTTTTATCATTCATTTATTTAATTAAAAATAAATATTATGCATTCGTAATAATTGCGAGGGTTTTGTAAATGAAACCGCAACTAGCTATCAACTATCTCCATCTCTTTCGGTGTCTCTCTAGACCCAAGGGCCACTTCACAAAAACCCATGGCCCAAACGTTGAGTAATAGTCAGATAAGTTATTGTAGTAAGTCCGTTTAAAGTCTAAAGCAAATATGCATCTTACCACATACATAAACATGCACACACACACACACACATACAAGTTAATTTCTAAGCATTCGGTTTCAACATGATATCATCTCGTATAATCATCTAAATGCTATTTCCATTTGTTCGGCAAACAAAAGCTGAGAGCTATGTAAACGTTTGCTCGACTGAATAAGACAAGTGTTAAAAATTGATTAGATCTATCCATTCCTATACATTTCGGGAAAACTTCCTATATATGCATGTATGAAAAAGATTTATTATTGATGTTCAAGTCCAAATCAACTATAAATTGTAATATTTACATATATCACAGCAAACTGAAATGATCTTCAATCATTGTCTATGGCACCTATAATTGCTCTCATAGCTGCCAGCTACGACACGCATTAAGCATAATTTTTATAAAGCTCCAATTTGTTCCGCAATTATTGATTTCCGCATTTTCAAAAGTCAATTTTGCAGTTGTTTATTTACATATATTTATTATGCATGTGATTTTTTCGCACTTTGCGCCTTGAGCTGACCATAGCGCAAAATTTATAGTAGAAAACAATATATAATACTCTTAATAATAATAAATAATGCAAATGCAATATGATTTTTAATGGGTCGCAGCGATGACGGCGACGTCCATCAAAGCAAAAGTGCCGCTGCGGCACTTTGAATAATGGGCACACGACGCTCCAAAACAAGACAAAACACAACTCACTCACACACACACGCACACACACATACTTATTGAGAAATTGAAAGATATATATTATAGCTTGAATTGAAGTTTGAATTGTTAACCGCACAAAATGCTTGATTCGCATTATACATTTGGCTTATGCCCAATTTCAATGAGCTTCCTGCTGTGCTTTGCTTAGCTTAGCTTTTGCGTTGCACTCTTTAAGGCAACAAACAGCTTGCCACGTATACACACATACACACTTGCTGCCCCGTTGCCCCACCGTTCACATTTCAATCCATTTACGTGTTGCGCACTTGGCGATTTCTTCCGCTTTGTCGGTGGTGACAGTTCCATCCCCTTCCTTGCCAACTTTTAATGCCGTTCGTGACGCACTTGCCTTAAAGCTAACTGCAATAATATTAACCGTATGAATAGCGTCTGCTTGATGCTGGGTAAAACTCAAGCGTTATATTTATTATTAAATATTTCAAGATTATTTGCAATTGTAGCTAAAGAAATCTTGCACTGATTTTTTAAAACAAATGCCACTATGGAACTCCCAATTATTAGAAAAACGTCTATTAACAATTAGAATTTAATTCCAAAACAGTTAGGTAAGTCTCAAAAGTTTTGGTGAATCTTTAATGGATGTCAACAATAATTCAGTTCTCAAAATTACAGTCTTACCCCCTATTTGCCACACCACCAATGACATGGAAATTAAATAAATATTTATATGGAATTAACAGTAGATGGGTTTTATTATTTTACCTGCTGTTTCACAACATGCTACATTTCTTTTACTACTCATAAGATAATTAATATTACGTTGAGTACCAAAAGATTCACACACACAGAGACACACTTAGCCCACATTCGGCTGGGACACACCTAGATTGGAATAAATAAAAAAGCCCACATAAGATTCAATTTGCCCTGCCATAAATGGCAGGCATTAGTGGAACTCCATGCAAAGCCAACAATATTTGATTAATTATGTCAAATTGCTGGCGGTCACCGAGCATAAATAAAAAATTGATTGCAAATTTGGACACCTATGGATAATAATAATTACACTGTTTAACATGCTACAGTATTCAGTCATACAGAAAATCACATTTGGCATGGAAATTCAATTTGACGGCGTGTGTAATTGGCTGTTGGATTTGCGCACCTGTCAAACTGATCTGCTATGCACCTGCCCATGAAACGAGCCACAAATTGTATTGGAATACTCTTCATTTAAGGTATTTAAGTTTTTCAATGCGACGTGTACTATGCCAACTTTGTTGACGGACTTCCTTATCCGTTGTCAATTGATTAGCAAATATTTATAATTTATTCGTTTTAATTAAATTTTTTATTGAATAATAGATAATGGAATATCCTAAGATATCTGAGTATAAAAAAATCATAATAAAAAATTTAAATTTTGTTTTGAAATTTATCTCACTTTAGAGTGATTATGATTTAGCATATCTAATGTCATACTATAATTTTCTAAATTTTATTACTTGCTCCACTATAAAAATTTCACCTAGTTGTTGTTGTTGTTGTTGTCGTCGTCTCGTACGTTATTCAAGTTGTGCTATTGACATTTAATTTGGCTTAATGGCGCACCGAACATCGTCGCCCATTATTAAAAAATGTTTCGAGATACTTGACATAACAACAAACAAACAAACAAAAAACAAGTAAAAGTTATCTTGCCTCGAGAGGTCGACGAAACGATACCCATTGATATATATATATATATAAGCCCATACCTATGTATGGCACTGTGTTGCATTACAGGGTATCTCAGTGTTGATATTTCCGAATATTTCATTGTTGCGAAAGTCTAGGCTGGATAACAAATGACTATCTAGTCTATTACTATACAAGTTGATCACATTATTCGACATAGGGCAGCTGCATAGGTGCTTGTATACCCGTTTTAAATGAGTGCTGGGTATAAACAGAAACTACATATTTGACATTTGTATTGGGCAGCTCTGCCCGTCGATAACCTTGCCGCCAGCCTGGCTTGCACAACACCAACACCAATCAGAGCTCCGAATTGCTGTTGTCGTTGAAATAAATGTGTCAACAATTTGTCAGCCTAGTTGTAGTTACTAAGCAGCGACGCCAGCAGCGACGGCGACGACAACTGCGACAGCGCTGTTTACGCTCAGTTGTGCACAAGGCATTGCAAATGTGTTTGATCAGCGACAACTGACAAGAAAACATGCAGCAGAATATTTAAAAAAAAAAAAAAAAAAAAAAAAAATATATATATAATAATACCTACACAAACACTTGTACTCTTACAGTGTACACTCGATATGTTGCACCTGATATAATGAACAGAATATATATATAGATGGTAAATACAAATGCAATAAATTTGTTGTTTATGAATATCAGTATTCAATTTGTTTTTTATAGATTAGAAAACAATAATCAAACAAGGGTGCTCTTGACGGGACTTGTACGACTAGAAAATACCTTTAAAACATTCTACCTAATATATGCATACATAGATAATTTTATAGTGTTGCTGTACTTCGTTGAAAAACAGGTACCAAGTCATAACTTGAGTTTCAAATGGATGCCGATACCGACAGACGAGCACACCAAGATTGATTTAGTTATTGATTCAGATCAAGAATAAATATATTCCATTTGGAGTCTACCACGCCCACTTTTACATACATTTTAGCAATACCACAATACCCCAAGCCCTCAATTGCAAACAGAGCAATGTAATAAACTGATTCAGTTGACAACGTATTTAACGCAACGTAACGTAGCGTAACGTAGCTAAAAATACACTCAACTTTTGATTGTTGCCAAGCTAGGTTTTTAATTTTCAATCCGATTTCAAGATTCCTGTAATCGTCTTTTTTTGCATAAATGGAATCTCACAAATACACTAGCCCATTGATATACATATATATGTATATAATACGCATACAAACGACAACGTGAAAGCGATGACGGTTTTGCTGTTACTTCAAGCGTAAATCAGAAGTTCAAACGCTTAACGGGAAAAGGTGCGGTTAGTTGCCATATTTATGCACATCACTAACACACACGCACCACACACCAAATACTACATATATACATACATATGCATATAGTTAGGCTTGTGTACACTAACCGTAAACGCAGTCCGCAGATGTCTTTGAAACAATAGCAAAATACATAAAAAACCAATTTCCAGCTGTTCTTTGAATACCGACCATTGAATTCCCTTACATTGTTTATTGTGAGCAACGTTTGGTTAATCGTGAGACATGTCTTTATTGCAAATTGGCTCAGCTTGCTTTTATTATTAAGTTATAAATTTTGTAATTAAACTGTATTACCGAAGTTTATTAGGGTGGGATATTGGAATTATCAACGGGCAAAAACGATGCGATAATACGGGCAAAAAGGGGTCACGGCAGTTAACGAGCTATGGGGGCGGGGGAGTCGATGGGTTCAAGTCGTGCGTGAGCGCCACAATGCGCAAATGCAAAGGCAAAAGCAAACGCAGCCACAGCAACAAAAACAGCAAGCAGCACTTGCACATGCACAAAACAACAGAAACAAGAAAGAAAAGGAAAAAGTTAACGGTATGTGAACGCGCGTAAAAGTAACTAAAAGAAGCGGAAACGTCAGCGCTGACAGAGCTAAGCAAAGATCTACATGCACAAACGCACACATATTCACATATACATATGCATATAGAGCACACACATACATACGCGCATGTGCATGCCTGGCCTGTGAACGGTTATTGCGCATCCCTGATCGTTGACGACGCAGCTGCTGTCGACGTCAGCATCAACGCTGTTACGCATTAATTATGGGAATTTTTTTTTTGAAAGCACGCGCACATGTGTCCTGTGTGGGTGGTTGGTAGCAGCATCAACAACCACCAGCAAAATGCACTGTAGCTTCCCAAGCTATAACAACGATACAGTGTTGCTGTCACCATTGCTGTCATTGCGCATACAGAGAATGCACCGCAGCCTCTTAAGCAATGCTATCTCCGCAGCATTGACATTGGCTCTCGCGCTGCTGTTCTTCTTCTTTCTATTTTGTTCTTGTCGCTGGTTTGGCTTGGTTTGGTGACTTGCCGAACCGGTTGTGCCGGCATTTCTCACAAAAAAAAATACAAAAAAAAAACTCACACAAACACAGAGACATATTTTGACTTGTTAACTACGGCTTGGAAGTGCGCTCTCTTTACTCTAAAATGAATGTACTCGCTCCATATTTGTACTTTTGTTGTTTCTTGCATTCCATAACACACACACACACACACACACATACACGACCAATCACATTCACACAAACTCTATGAGCCATATGAAGCTCAGCTTAAACAATTTTGCTTTTACCTTTTATACGAGTTGGTTGTTGTTGTTGCTCTCACTCTCGTTAATTGTATTTGTTGTTTCAAAAGTAATCAGCAAACACTTAGCAACATTTAATTAACATATTAACACACGACGCACTTTAAAGACACGCTAAAAAATTGTTTCGCGTTTATTTTTGTTCTCTTGAATTTTCGCACACTTTATTAAGCTCTCGTAGCCGCGCTCAGCTTAGATTCTCAGACAGAGCTATGAAACTTTCTATACACATATATGTATTCACATACATACACAGTCAAAAAAAACGCACACAAAATTCAAAAAAGAAAACAACAAATTAATATTTGTTGATATTGAATAGAATGAAGAAAAAACAAAGTTACAGTTTTACGCGCACACTGATAGAACCACCTACAAATGCTCGTCAACTGCGTAGCACACGTCGCGCAGCGTTGCTTTCTCAATGAGCACTAAAGTGAAATGTAGAACAAAATGAACGCCGCAATTACCGTTCTATGTATCGTGCGACGTATTCGTAAGTTGAATGCAGTTACGCGCTGCTGGCGCTACATGCAACCGAAGGCGATGCATGTTGTGTTAACTAAAATCTTTTTTAATTAGGCTTAACTTGCGTTCAATGTGACAAATTACAACAAAAAATGGAAAAGCATTGAATAGGAATTAAAATTTCAAACAAAATTGTCCAAATTAGTGGGCGCGCAAGTTAGCCAGCGCACGAACCGCGCAAATAAGAAACTACGTAAACGCAACATGAGCAACGTAAGCGCAAAGTGAGTCAATTTGTGCATCGATAACAATATTGGAAATGCTCTCTGACGAAAGCTGTCATATATTGATGTCCGTTATAAATATTCATTTTTTAAATTAGTTTTTTTTTTGTAAGTTTTTACCCAAAATTAAAGTCAATATTGCGATTGTTTTTACAATTCGAGCGTCATTTTATTTATAAATTTATAATAAAGAATTAAATGTAATACAATATTAGCGAACAAATATGTAAAACACACGCATATATAAGTACAGTTAATAAATTAAACAATAGCGAGTTGTGCGTAAAAATAATTGAAGAAGAAAACGAATAGCTAGAGGACGAGCTTGGGGAATAACCAGCTAGGCGGATACACTACCCATTGTTCATTTCGAGAGTACACCAAAAGAAGTCGGTTTTCTTCTTGCTTCTTGCGGTGTAGTATGGAAATAAATGCATAATTAATTAATTAATTAAATAAACGTCTTAATTTTTTTTGTTTTTGTTTTAGTATATACACAATGAGTTTTACCAGAAGACGAAGGCAAAGAAGAAGAAATATATAACATTACACAAATTTATTGAATTAATTGGTTTCATATTTTATTTTATTATTTTTTTTTTTTTTGTTTTCAATTTAACTTTTCTCAAACTTTGAGTTTGGCAAAAAAATTTAAAACAAAAAATATTGATTTTTATATATATTCAAAAATTTCTTCACTCGCACACAAAAAAGTTTGGAAAAGTCATTAAAAAAAAGAACAAACAAACTTAGTAAATTAGCACCTATTATTGTAGTTTATTTTTATATTTATGCTACGGCCAGAGGGCGTGGTAGCTTCTCCGCGGGCAGCATTTGAATTGTGCTTAAAAAATAAAATTCATTTAATTCTTTTCTTTTCTTTGCTCTTCCTTTCTTTTCTTTTCTGCTCTTTCCACATTAGCTAAAAAACGAAAAAAAAGATTGAAATCAGACACACTCACGCACTCTTTCGTACTCACTCGCTCATACAGACACACACACACTCACTCACTCACTCTCTCTCACACACTTATACTTAATATAGCTATCTTTAGTACAGATTAATATAGCACTTGTAACTCCTTCGTTCAAATATTTGCAAGCTTCGTTGAAAAAAAAAGTCAAAATAAAAATAATTAAAAAAAACATAGATATTATATAATTAAACCGTTTCGCTTTAGACAGTTCTTAATTTCGTGACTAGGCAATTTTTACTTGTTTTTCTTTTCTTCTCACAAAAAAAATCAACGCAACATCGCACATAATTTTTTTTTAGCTTTTTTTTTCTTTTTCATTTTTTGCTTTTGTTGTCGTGTTTTCGCACGCGTTTTTAAAACGCGCGCGCGCACGGTTTGAAACTTGGCTAAGCGCTTTTGTTGGTTTAGTAGGATTTGTCGCTGCTTCTAGAACCGTTGTTTGTTTGCATCTAGTTGCGTTGTTTTTTTTAGTACGTTTGTTTAGTGCGATGTTAATTGTTCGTTTTTTTGTGCATTTTTGTTATTTTAATTTCGACAGCTCCTGCTGCTGCCGCTGCTGCTGCAACGACTTTACAGGTGCTCATCGCCATGGTAACCGTTGCGCAACGGTTGGCGCTCCTGCGAATGATCTGCGGGCCGGTTGCGCTTAAAGAAGCCGAGCTAAACGGAACGAAACATATAACATAGAATACAATTGGTTTGTGCATTGGCTAAGCACTCACCTTATAGAGTAGCAGAACGAGCAACAAAAAGATCAGAGCACCCGCACACGCAGCCAAGACAACAACCCAGAGAGGCACCACGTCGGGCACCTGCTGCGGCTCCGGCTGCGCCTTATAGAAGATCTCGTGCGTCTTCAATATCTTCTCCTTGGGCTTGCCAATGAAAGGCAAGCTGGTCACATTCGCCACGGCGAGCGTTGAGACATTCAGCGGCACAGTGGGCGCCAGTTTCTCCATGGTGGTGGCCACCATGCGTGCACGTATGGCCACAAATGCCGCGTCCGCATCCTCATAGCCCAGATTCTCCAAATAGCAGCGCAGCCGACGGCACTTGACGCCCAGACAGGGCGAGATCCCATTCGCCAGACGCGTCTCTATCGTTGTCGGCATGTCGCGCCTAAAGCGACGCGGCGCGCCGCTGGAACTGGAACTGGAACTGGAACTGTGCCACTGGCCGAGCGCCTTCTGCTGTTGATTGTCCTCGTCGTAGAAGTCCTCGTTCTCACGGCCATAGTACGGCTTGCTGCCGGAGCTATAGACCACATGACGCTGCACAGCCGGCTGGCCATACTGCACCTGGCTGTTGTGCAGCTCATTGTCAACGTTGCCACGTTCGAAGGTGTCCAGATCAAGGGTGCCCGCATGGAAGTTGCCATTGCGTCCGCCATACATGGACTTGTCCGGCGAGCCGCCAGCCAGATAAAGCTGCTGCTGCCGCTGCTGCTGCTGCTGGGGTCGCATTTGGTAACTGGAACTGGAGCTGGATCTGGAACTGGAGCTGACCTGTGGCGGTGCCATTTGGATGTGGCCATGTGTGCTATGGCTGTGCAGCTCATCGCTGGGCGCAGCAGGAATGAAACCGGCGCGAGCGAAGCTGCCGCTGCTCTGGTTGAAGTTCGCCTCATGGTGAGAGTCCGCTTGATTGGCACGATCCAAGTGCACGAAGGAGGCGTCTCCAGCAGCATCCTGTGCATCCTCGCGCTCCAGCAGCTCCTTCTGCTTGGCCGTCAGGCTGCGCTGATTGTCGTTGCCGACGGTGACGCCGACTGTGTTGCCCGTTTGAATGCCATGCGATATCTCCACATGGCCGCCAGACTCTTCGCTGCTAGCCTGGCCCTCCGATGACGCCGGCACAGAGTTGCTGATCGCACCCTGGGCGTGCAGATAGGACTTGTTCTTCTGCTTCTCGTTCAGCTTGAGGCCCAGCTCGTTAACCTCGATCTTGTCACAGCGGATCTTGCCACCCGTCTCCGGCTGATTGACAATGTACATGAGTGGATCACCGGACTCGGTCTGATATGGGTAGTAGATGTCTACGGCGGCGCCCTCAATGAACGAGCTGAGATTGTTCCGTAGCTCATAGATATGCACCACCTGCGGACCGAGTTCGTCCTCGGTGGTGGCATTGCCGGGCGCCTTGTAGTCGGCTGCCTTGTACACCTGATAGTCGGGCAGCGAGGTGCCCTTGATGGTCAGATCGGTTTCCACCCAGACGCCGATGCTCTTGCTGCCCACATTATCGTACTCCGAGTTCTTGCGCTCCACGTTTGTTGAGTTGGCCACCCAATAGAAATCGTAGCTGGACGTCTTCGTGTGCTTCTCCGCGGGCACAAAGCTGACCGCAAAGTGAGTCTGACGATGAAGGATCAATGGATTAGGACTGACTTCTGCGGAGACTCTAATCATGTAACTTACCATGTTGCCACCCTTCAGCGGATTACCAATGTCACACTTGAGTGTATAGTTGTTGCTGGCATCGGGCGCCGAGCAGGTGATGGGCATGTCGATCTTCTCGCCGAGCTGCTGTAGCTTGGTGAACTGCAAGTCCTTGGGCGTCATCATGTAGAAAGCGGCTTCGAAGGCGTCCTCGTTGTTGTTCTTGATCAGCACCTCAATGGTCAGCGGCTCGCCCGACACAAACAGATACTTGTCGACGGCCCTAATGGAGCGGAAGGAAGGACACCGATTAGATTAGGAGGAGGAACTCTTTCAGGTGGACTTACTTGACGGTCAGCACTAGATCGGGCTCACATATGTTGTCCGGTCCACAGTTCTTTTGTATGTTGATCGCATCACGTAGAATGATCTCGCGATTCTGATCGATGACCGGCTCCAGGGCTGCGCGACGTGTGCGTGAACGGGCTTCGATGGGACGACTGCTGCGGAGATTGTAGCGCGCTTCCACCTCGAGGGGCGTTAGCTTGTCCTGGACACCGTCCATGAGGTAGACGGTCTCGTTGAGGCAATATCTCTGGCCATAGGCGAGTCGGATCGTCTGATTGCGTATGTTCTTGCCTTCGTCGCGTAGGAAGAACATGCGAGGATTGCGCGTCTTCTTTGCATCGAGCAGCCAGGAGACCTCAAAGTCCAGCTGCGTGGGCAGATAGCGACCGGTATAGCTCCAGCAGGTGCTCAAAGGCATGCATGGCACCCTCTTGTGGTCTCGCTGCAGTTGACAGGTGCGATCCTCCAGGCTAATCAGCTTTGAGGCGCTGGCAAACACCGTTTCCGCATTGACAGCGGCCACCGGGCGCGACTTGAAAATGAACACCTGATCCGAGGCATAGGCGCCAACGGCCAAGTCCGGATACGTATTGCCATCCATGTCCACGCCGCCGGACAGCGCAAAGCCAAAGGTGCGCGGATAAGGAGCCGCCTCCACCAGACTTTCAGCCTTAATGACCTGCGACGGCTTCAGCAGGGGACCCATCGCAGAGCCATGATAGATGTACACCACGCCACGACCCTCGGGTCCATCATAAGGAGCGCCCACTGCGAAATCGCCATAGCCGTCACCGTTGACATCGCCCAGCGTGGTGAGCGCCAGG